ATCTTCACTAAGAACAACAAATTTTCAATCATATACATAGAACTTGTTATTGTTAGAAACAAATGCAATACGACATAGTTGTTGAAGATTTTACAGCTACGGATGTGTTAGGTATAAATATAGATAATAATTTCATATGCAAACAAACAATCTGCACTTCCCAAAGCGCGCATCACACATTTCGAATATCTAAATAATATTATAATTACAAATTATAAACAAATTATATTAATAAGCCGAGATAATGATATGAGTTGTTTAATAATATACGAGTTCATTTAATTGAATTCAAGATTTATAAATATCTTTACACTGAATGTCAAAATAAAACATATATGATCTAAATAATATTTGTTACCATACCAGTAAATACATGATACTTCGATAACAGCCTAGAGAAATATTTAATATTTTTAAAAAAATTATGTTTATTCGTCTAATCTGTCTCTATTTATTTTGTTTAAGTAAAGTTTATTGAATATACAGGGTGTCCCAATATTCCGTAGATATAGAACTATTACGTATTTTTGGAACCAAAATAAGTTAATTGTAAAAGTAAGTTAATAATTTTGTCCGCTAGAGGGCATCAAACTTTTAAAAAAATCAGGTATTTTAGGAACCGTTTATTCCGATTTGAATGAGTTTTTGGGTGTCTATGTTTTGCTAAGTGCTTTAACATTTGACCTTAACTCTCAACTGGCGGGCGTGGTGAATTTTTGTAACGTTTATGGCGTGCTGGGGTCCGACGGATCCCAATTTTTTTTTCAGTTTAAAATACATGATGAAGAGATTTTATAAAAAGCTTGTTATTTTAACACTGTTTACAATATATTCAAACTTGTGAACAAACAATTTCATTAATTTTCAATAAATTAATAAGAACGGACACAAAAATAAAGTAAAACGCATTTTTTCGGAATTTTTGACAACAGAAATATAACTTGGCTAAGAAACCCATAGAAATTAAAAACATATATATTTTATGATTTTACCGTATTATTAAAACAGTACAAAACAACTGAAATGTGAAGCTAAAGTAATAAACATAAATTATTTTCAACAAAACTGCAAACCTTGAATGTACATAACTTTTTCAAATACAGTTCATGCTAATATAGGATCTGCCTTTGCCGCACATGGATCGTGCACATTTGATTCATGAGATTTTTGTTTTTTGTCATTTCTTCATTGACATATGGTTCACATCTCTTTCTTTTCTGTTATTGATTATTCAATTTTCTCTCTTCTATAAGTAAGAGATTCAGAATCGGAGTTATGGTTACTCTTCGGAGAAAAATCAATGTCTCGATGGTCTTCATCTCACTTAAGCCTCTTTAAGTTCATCAAACCACTCAATTAATGCTTCCTCAAAATTAGCGTCCCAGTGAGGCACACTATTTAGACTACCCACCATCCTAATAATGTAACATTCTTGGCGTGGTGGTGCCACACAGACCCCAATGAAACTTTAGCCCCCGCTGCACAGTGGGCAAAAATCCAGAAGTATTTTGCAAAAATTCTTTTTTTGTACGATTTTATTCAAATTTGGTAAAAACATTCTATGCCAGTAGGCCGTGAACCCTGTTAGTTTTGGCTGACTTGAGAGTGGTTGGGGGTGGTGGAGGGGATTCATAAAATGGAAAAATCATCTTTTGACTAATACAGCTACCAAAATGCGGTAAGAATATTTTACATTTCACTAAATTTTACGATTTTTGGCAGAGCCAAGATGAAACAGACAAATATTGAGCAATTATTACTCCTCCGCCATATACAGGGTTTGTTTTATATATTGACATCCTCTGTATCTTTTTTATTCGACGTTTTCGAAAAAGTGTCTTGAATAAAAGTTTAACGGTCTCGAATACATTTTTCAAAAACAGTCTTCTTGCATATACAGGGTGCCTTAGAAATCCTGTGTGTGGCCCAACTTTCTTATTTCAAATTAGTATCCAATTTTTTATTTGATTTTTATTTTCTCCTAAAAATCCTAACTACTTTTTTGTAGCATAGCCTATACCTAATTTGAAATAAGATAGTTGAACCACGCCCAGACTTTTTGAAGCACTTTGTATATGCGAAATAGATTTTTTTGGCAAATTTATTGAAAACTACTTTCATTTGAGACAGTTTTCGGAAACGTCAAATAAAAAAGATAAAGGGGGTGTCAATGTTTAAAAGAAAACCCTAGTATACTAATCCAATGGAACTTTTATTCAAGATTGTTTGTCATTTGAATAAGTTGGGTCTCTAATAATACCAGACAATACTTTATATTTCAAGTTCTTCTCTAGCTCTAGCTACTATAACAATTAATTTATGAGAAGTATCCACATAAAGGATGTTACTATACACATACGCACGGAGGCTTACGCTTCCAATAAATTTAATTTTGCGATTTTTTGCGATTTTTTTGACTTAACTTTTCTAAGATAGAATTTATGCCACTATCAAAAAAACCTTAAATGATTATGTTCTACTTTGACCTTTACCTAGTTTTTATCCAAAAAATCAAAATAAAAGATACTTTTTTACTTATCTTCACATTAAATTTACTGCAACCGGGAATCTACGTAAAACACGTTATGACAATTTTACAATAATTTTTGACAGTAAGCTAAGGTCGTCCGATTCAATTGTTGTAATACTGTGTCACTTGAATGCAACGCCTACTATTTAAAAAATTGTAGAAAAAAGGCAGTTATTGGACACAAATTAAATGAAAATGTAGGTTTTGCGCAAAGTTCGTTTTACAGCCCCTCGAAAGAGACTCCGAATATGTTTTTTTGTTACTTTTATGTGGTTTACTCTTAACTAATATGTTTCCCATCTAATGTTATTGCCATAAATGCTAACTGTGGATGTTATTTTTTGCAACTTGGTTTGGACATACTGCCTACTGTGCGCTGGTAGGAACAATACTTAAATAATCTCCTATATGATATGCTTACTTATCTATGACACTACTGTGTATTATGATTAAATCTAATTTTTATAATTACAGTAGGTGAATGTATAAAAAAATCGTAAATATTTTTGTATCAGCTTGACATTTCTGACAGATCTATTATAAATTTTAAGGTGAATGTTTGTTGTATATCTATTATTAATATATCAATTCCAGAGCCTGCATCATAGATACATATTTATTTTTGATAAGACAGTGTCGTTTACATTTAACAGTTTTATCTCTGTTCACATGCAGGCAATTTCTTTGAAAATGTCGTAATTTAGATCTTTTCTTGATCCTATAATTTACAGGTACCTACCTACTTGACACCTATTTATTGTTTTAATGCTCTTTAATGTAAACTGTCGACTTTAAAAGCGAGGAAGCACGTGTAAATTTATTTATTTCTAATTACTTTCGGCTTTAGAAGTGTCTAGAGTAAGCTAGATACATGTAAAGGAAATTTAAAATAGTTTTTTTTATTGAATTTAAATATTTTTTTAAGGATTTCAACAAAATTCAGACTTAATTTAAAAAAATTTATAATAAACCTTTTTGTGTAATACCCTGTATGTTTAAATATCTCTTTTAAATGGATCTTAAACCATATACTGTTTGATCGAAAAAAAACGGCGTCGAAGATGGTTGAGGAATGACAAAAATCCCATCCCTAATATTGGGTACCTCCCTTTTGTACAGTAAAATTTGTCTTTTAATATAATTTTATAACTGTCGGATAAATAACTATCGAATTACTGATAGTTATCGATAAATATCGATAAGTATCGATAAAAAAATCCCATCCCTAATATTGGGAACCTTAGTTTTGTGCGAATAAATAATTATCGAATTACTGGTAGTTAACGGTTTATCGATAAATAAATCGATAGGTATCGATAAAAAATTGCATCTCTAATCTTGGGTACCTTCGTTTTGTACAGTAAAATTTGTCTTTTTATATAATTTTATAACTATTGGATAAATAACTATCGAATTACTGAGAGTTATCGATTGATATATCGATAGGTATTGATAAAAAAAACTTAAGTAAAATTTGCCTTTTTATATAATTTTATAACTGTCGAATTACCGATAGTTATCGTTTTATCGATAAATATCGATATATCAACAGGTATCGATAAAAAATCCCACCCCTAATCTTGGTACCTTCGTTTTGTGCAGTAAAATTTGTCTTTTCATATATTTTTTTGATAATTTTATAACTATCGAATTACCGATAGTTATTGGTTTATCAATAAATATTGATAGGTATCGATAAAAAAATCCCATCTCTAATCTTAGGTACCTTCGTTTTATACAGTAAAATTTGTTTATCCTATTGAATTATCGATTATTATTGGCTTATCGATAAATATCGATGTTTCGATAAGTATCGATAAAAAATCCCATCCCTAATCTTGGGTACCTTCGTTTTGCAGAGTAAAATTTCTTTCTTTTTATACAGGGTGTCCCAGAAATAAGTGCAAGTATTTTAACTAGTAGTATAATTCAACCCCAGAAACACGTCTATGGAGTTTTTTTCGCGAACAAAATTTTTTGGATTTTTTTTAGTTTTTAGTTAAAAACCATAATTTCTTGATAATATGGCAACACAGGTATTAGATTAAATTTACAAGGAAGAAAATCTAGAAAAGATCCAGTGGTTCTCAAAATTTTAGCAAAAAATCTTTTTTTTGGAAATTTTCGAAGTGAAATAATCGCGTGATTTTGGACTTCATTGAAAAACGATAAAGAGAAAATATGTTTCTTTTATCGAGATCTACCACCCCTTAAAATACTTGCATTTATTTCTGGGACACCCTGTATAATTTTATAACTATCGAATTATCGATAGTTATTGGTTTATCGATAAATATCCATATATCGATAGGTATCGATAAAAAAATCCCATCCCTAATCTTTGGTATCCTCATTTTGCAAAGTAAAACTTGTCTTTTTATATAATTTTGCTGCGTTTTAAACTGAAATTATTGATTTTTCGTTCCATACATATAGGCGTGATTTAACAGAAACAAAATATTGCTTGCAGGTGCTGCAAAAACCTCTGGATTTGGAACTGGATTTGACAGCTGACAGCGGAGGGAAGGATAAAATCTCAGGTACATGTGCCAGACTGTACATTCTCCAAGTTAGTTCGACTCCAGTCGATCAGCAAGAACCCAAGACCTACAGAGAAAATTACTTTAGGTAGGTAAAAAGTGAAACCTTAGATCGTGTAACACATAGATACATACAGTCTTTTGTGGGCATTATGGATTGCATGGCAGGGGGGAAAGTTAATCGCTGCGACCTTATTGACTTATTATGTCTTCCTTTCTCGAGTTATAACTCATCATACAGTCTCAGGGCTTTGATAAAAGCCAGTATCTGAGACGGTTTTACAGAAGTTGGCTCTCCAAGTTCGTACCAAAGTTTACGGCACCATTGGTTGCACTCAGTGATGAGGTCGGTGTTTCTCCATTTTCCCTACAGAATCTTCATTCACCTCATTGTTTCTCAGCTTCGGATAAGATGGCTATTTCTTGTTTCCGATAGTTTCTATCTCTTTCGTGGGCATGCTGAAGCCAACATTAATAACGGAATTAGGAATGCGGACCACGATCTTTACCTGCCAATCCCGAGCTCAGAACTAGAGATGTGTAGTTCCAATGAACTATTCCGACCCCGGAATGAAAGGAACTAGTTCCTGGTTTCTCAAAGAACTAGTTCCTCAGGATCTATTCCGGGATCGAGACTGTGACCGATATAGAAAAATATGCGACAGCGACGGATCGGCTAGCGCGCGTAGCCCGATGGTAGGCAGGAGTGGGGAGTGCCAGCCGTACGTTATCGGATCCGGACCTAGAGGAACTAAACTAAATAAAAGACTAGTTTACGTACGAACGGATCGGGCCAGCGCGATTGATCCTAGGCAGGAGTGGGGAGTGCCAGCCGTATGCCGTATGTTACCGGATCCGGACCTAAAGGAACTAGATTACATACACAATTACACGGCTCGTTATATCTCCGTACATTATAAAAATTATACAGATTATACTGTGAATAGTTCTGGCTGACAACGAAACGCATTAGCAAGCAAGGGGGATGTGAATGTTAGTCGGGAACTATTGTGAACTAAGGACCTAGTTCAAGGAACTATTCCTCGGGAGGAACTAGAACTAAGGAACTAGTTCCTCCCAAGGAACTAGAATTTCCACCTCTACTCAGAACTAACTAAGTACTTAAAGGCTGAATACTGTATAATGCCAAAAAAATGTACAATCATCTGCCTTTGAATATCAAGTCGCTTTCATTCTTTCCGGCATTTCGCAAAGCTCTGAAATCAAACTTACTGGAGAGAGCCCTATATGCGGTAAACGACTTTTTTGTTGATGTTTAATTATGAACAATTTTGAATTTTAAAATTTTGATCATCTCACACATTGGTGAAAAATCTAGTATTTAATATTTTATAACTCTTAAATGATTATATCCATTTACAATTTTGCTATTGTAAAAGTTTATTGATGCGCCTTTTTTTGTGTTCTGCAATGTATGTTCCATTTGTAATTTTAATGACGTAATTTTTTTTGAATTGTATTATTTGTATATTTTTTGTGCTTTTGTTTGTTTTTTAAATGCTTTGTCGATGAAGCTATTTTGGCTTTTTGTGCAATAAAGCGTTATTTATTATATTATTTATAACACTACCGAAGAATCTATATCCAGTATCCAGGAAAGTACATATAGTATTTCTCGAATATCCAAAATAGTCAAAAGTAGTTTAGTTTTTTTTGTAGCACCAAAATAAAAATATTTCGATTAAATTCAATAAATATTTATTTAGAATAAGCATGTATTGAGTCTTTTTATATCAAGGAAGACATTGAATCAATGACATAACGTCATTGGCACGCGATTGGGGCATATTTGTTGTATCCATACGCGTATTAGTGCATTTGCCAAAAATGCTCTTGTAATATTTAGAGAAGATCGTCGGTTTATTTTTGTGTATACACATTTTTACTAACAACTAAAAATATCTATCACCTTAATTACAATCGGTCGCGAAATATGTTCGGCATTTTTGACTGCCAAAAAGCTCCAGAGAAATAGGTAAACCTAGAAGTGCTCTAACACATATAAATATATCTCTTTGTCTTTATTCCTACAAGAGGAATAAGGAAATATATCATAGGATGGTATAAAATATAATATCTACAAAAAAAAACAATGTGTGAACTATGTGTCATTATTTCTGTAATCTGTACATTTTTTGTTTCCTCAATAGCCTGCAATACCACCCGAAATACACTTTTATGCAAATACCTAATACTGTTAACGCTTTTATATTTATTTAAGAAGAGAAAAAAATTTGAACCTAACCAACAATTCGTATTTATAGTGGTTTACAGTAATTTTGTCAAATTATACGAATATACAAACAAACAAGCAAACAAACAACGCTTTATTATACAAAAAGCCAAAAGAGCTACAAACAACAAAAAATACACAATACAAATAATACAATTCAAACAAATTTAAGTCTTTAAAATTACAAAAAGAATATACATGGACAATTTTAGAACAGTACACAGTAAATAGATATGATTTTAGAGTTATAAAATATTAAATACTTGACCTTTGACCAGTGTGTGAGATGATCAAAATTTTAAAATTCAAAATTGTTCATAATTAAACATCAACAAAAAAGTCGTTTACCGCATATAGGGCTCTCTCCAGCAAGTATGTTTTTAGAGCTTTACGAAATGCGGGAAAGAATGAAAGCGACTTGATATTCAAAGACAGATGATTGTACATTTTTTTGGCATTGTACAGTATTGAACCTTTAACTAGTTCTGAGCTCGGGGTTGGCAGATAAAGATCGTGCTCTGCATTCCTAAGTGGATAGTTATGAGATGGCCTTTCGGGAATAGCAGATATGTGCTTGCGGATTAAGCAAACGGATTCAAAAATGAATAAAGAAGGAAGAGTCAGTATTTTCAAGTTTTTAAAGAAATTCTGGCAGTGAGTTCTACTGTTCAGTATCAATAAATATCGAACTGCTCTCTTTTGAAATCTGAAAACACGATCAAATTTTGTTGCGCAGCAAGTACCCCAGAATGGAAGGGCATAACGAAGATGTGACTCAAAAAGGGCATAATAGGCTATTCTAGAGGTTGAGAAGTTAAGGCAGCGCTTAGTTTCTTTGATAGAGCTTCGATGTGAAAGTCCCATTTTAACGAGTTGTCTACAACAAGTCCTAAGAACTTCACAGAGTCCACGACGTCAATAGTGATGTTATTAAGTACAAAAGGTTGTATAGTACTTTTATATGACAAAACTTTAGTTTTTGATAGGTTGAGGCATTGGAGATTAGAATCGCACCAAGACTTAATGGTGCGTAAGTTACTGGATATAGTATCATATATTGCTGTGAACATCTCGGCCGCTCCAAGTGAAACTAGTATCGTCCGCAAAGAGGCAGATTTTACCGCTAATGTCTAGATTTGCAATGCCGTTGATAAACACCAGAAACAAAATAGGGCCAAGTACTGAACCCTGAGGGACACCACATTCTAAAGGCTTACAAGAAGACATAGACGTATTAATCCTCACAAGCTGCCTTCTGTTGCCAAGATACGACTTAAGCCATTCGAGCGGCACTCCCCTGAAACCATAGTATTGCAATTTGTTAATTAAGATATTATGATTTACACAATCGGAAGCCTTAGAGAAATCACTGAAAATTGTAGCTGTAGAGTAATGGTTATTAACGAAAAACACGACCGTCTCGCTAGACTGCCAAACCAATTCTTGTTCATTATTAGTTTGAAATAACTATGACAGTTTCTTCCAATGAAAATGCGAGTTGCGTAACTCTAATAATTCTAATTCTGAGCTAGAGGCTTTACCTAGACCGTTATTCAGAACCTATCGATGAAAATATCCATGAAAATTTACTTCCTAGCACATAACTAGAGGATATTGGTACACAGATACAGTATTAAGTTTATTAAAGTGATTTTCTTAGTCGCGTATGGTACAGATCGTTTTACAAAGGGGTTGAACTACCCCGAACGGGTTAGCTGTGGCAACACCGCCGTTACCACTTTTCCTGACGCTAGTTCGTTGTGTTGTGCGCTAGCTTAGACAAGGAAAGAGAGGGGACAGATAACACGGCAGCTGAAAGTGAGGCAAGTTGTCACCACTCAAAATTCTCCAATGGCGTAGCATCAGAAATTAGCTTGTACCTAGACGGTACAAAATATTTATTAAAACGTAAACTAATATATCGTTCATTTTTGAGTAATGCATATACAATTTTGTATTTTATAGTCTCACCTTTATAATATTAGAATATCTAAGTCGATAATGCAAAATTTACCTATAAACAGTCACAGTGGACTGATTATCAAGACAATTATTTATTTATTAACGTGTGTATAATGTATAATTAAAAAAAAAATAGGGTAATAAGATATGTTTTAAACGTGTATCGAATGACGTGTGAAATCGAAAAAAACGGCGTCTTGTTTGTTTGGAAATGACAATTTCACAAATGAATATTAAAAATTACATTATTCATTGAATCCGTAAGCAAGTGTGAAGGGAATTGGCTAGATTCATTATTATACCGTATAATCGAAAAAAAAACGACGTCCACTTGGCTTGTAAATCACGATCGATGACATTCCTCATATAATTCTACATATAAAATGACAAAAACTATGTATATGTAAAATATATAAAAAATGTTTATTGCAGAAATTAACTGCAAAAAAAAATAAAAATAAATTTACAGGTAAAATATATAAAAAAAATGTTTATTGCAGAAATTGTATTTCTCTGATTATAATTCCCTACGCCACTGGCGAAATCCAGGCTGAGTAGCATTATTTATAGTTTCAAACATTAATTATTATACAGGATATCGAAAATACTACTTGGAATTATTAAAAATAGTTTGGTTTAGATGTGGTACAAGACGTATTAAAAGTATTTGACATATTTTTACTGCTATAATGAAAAAATGTACATTTTATGACCACATAACAAAAGTTGTGTATCGATTTTTACCTGTGAAATGTAATTCCAGCCACTTTTTTCTCGCTTCGGCCTTTGCAGCCATACGCTGAACATTTCACCATACTAAACAACACAGTTTATAAATTTAAAACAAAACAGTTGTCACAAAAAACATAAAAATTCGCTCGGTGTCACCTCGAAATCTTGTCACCAAAGTATGGCCGCCGATCGAATTTTGGTCTCACAAACCGATCACGGGAGAATATGCGTGTTACCCGTCCCCTCTCTTTCCTTGTCTAATAGTTTCACTTCAAAAATAAACACATATGATCTGCTGTACGCTACTGTACAAAATACTGACTTGTAAAAGGTGATCTTTTTATTTTTGTTGTAAATTTCACACATCATGCACTTTATAAGTTTCATCACACAGAATTTTAACCTTACTCTATGAAAAACATAGTCTAACAACGTCCAAGTAAGATTTTTCACAAAGAAACACGTAAAATAAAAAGTAACGATTGTATCTTAGGACTTCTCTAGGTTTACTTATTTCTATGAACTGCCAAATATTTATAAGTTTCATCACACAGAATTTTTACCTTATTCTATGAAAAACATTCTAACAACGTCCATAAAATAAAAAGTAACGATTGTATCGATAAGTATTTTAGGACTTCTCTAGGATTACTTATTTCTATGAACTGCCAAATAGTTTCGAATTTTTTTCAGGTTAAAGTTAATCCTCGTTGATCTATGGTTTTTTGTTGGTGTTTGACACTAGCATATTTCAATAGATTTTAGGAGAAAACAAACATATTTATGTTATTTTTAAATTAAAGCAAACCTATATTATTTGATTCATAGCAAACATTTTTATTATTGATACTTTTTAATCAACCTTTACGTTAACCAATCTCTTCTAAAAATATTTTTTTGGTTTCTCATTGGCTAGTAAACAAAAGGACTAATTTATTATTATTTCCTTGGTATTTTGAAGATCTTCAACTCTTAGTCCATTAAGAGTCCATTTCGGCATTTATCGTTTTACGTAAAACTGGCTAGGTATTTTTACACAAATGAAGAAGGAAATTAAAGATAAAGGATTATACTATATCCGTATTGTAGCACATTTTTAAACAACTTTTTTATTTTTAAGATTTTAATGGTTTCAAACATCAACAAAATATTCCTTATGTTTGGACTAAATTTTCTCGAAAATAAAGACATAATTTAAAATTCCGTTACAATACGGAAATAAATTGAAGTTTTGTGATTACAGTGATATATAATTTATATGGTTTTGTAACAAATTGCTCGCTATTCTATGGCAAATGCTGAAACTCTGGAAGCCTTAATCAAAGCACGTGTGTTTGGAATTTTGGCATTAGGGTACTTTATAGTCAATTTTTTTATAAGCGATTGGGTTTTGAACTTGGAATAATAATTATTATCGATTTTTTGATCAAAAAATATATTTTTTTATTTTTTTTTAAATTGTAAATTAAACAAAAAATGATAATATTCTCTTTATGCCTATAGGATTTAATCAATTAAAATATATCAAAATTGTAGTGAAAGAGCGAGTTACGCCTACATTAAGGAATAATTAATACTGGTAATTATGCTGTTGTGTAATTGAGTAATGAATGATGAATTTTGTTGATCACGAAATTGTTTCTCTCCTGGAATTGACGATTCACGGGAAAATGGAGAAATTAAAAATAAAAATAGGTCAAATATAATGAACCTTTTTTACATCCGACGAAAAAAAGTTATATAGTTATTTATTTATATGTAGTTACTTAAAAATTGAAACAGGTACACTCTGTTTTGTATTGTATACTTCCATTTATACAGGGTATTACAAAATCTAGTATATTATTATTAGCATAATTTTATATCTTGAAAAGAAGTCTCGGTATTTTTGCTACTGGAAGAAAATTTACAAAATAAAAGTTATTTTTTGTAAACACCAAAACTACTGATAATTGACAGCTGCCTTGACCTATTTGAAGTCCCTGTTAAGCGTTAGAACTGAAATATTAAGATTGTAAATTTTTTCAAAAAAAAAACAGCGAACAGTATATTTTTCTTCGTTTTTCAGTGATGATGATGACGAAATATCTTCTGGCGAAGAGGAAGCAGGCGACCTGTCTGACAGCGAACCAATCAGAACGAAGCATCCACATACCAGGCACAACCTGAAGCAACGTTTCGTCTCTTTGCTGAAACGCTTCAGGGTTCCAGATTCAGAAGGTAATCATTTTTAATTTTCTTTCATTCAATATTTCTATTTATTCATTGAATATAATTTTATTATTATTGATTCTTATCTGTCCATTGAATTTAAAACAAAAATTTTTGTATTTCATAATATAATGTAATTTCAAGTAAGCAAGATTAAAAAAGGCATAAAAGTAGGTGTTCCTAAATTTGTAATATTATTTATTACCTATATTATTTGTACAGTTCTTAATTTTATTATGCAATCATTCAACTTACACAAGTATGCAATAAAAAATTAGTGAATAAATTTTATGTTATGTGTGTTATCAGGTTCCTGTTGCTATAACTTTGTTTTAACTAACTTAAAATAAATTAAAGAATTCTAGTTTGCTTTGAATATAAAGATTATTATTTAAGGCAGTATAGGCCATGTATTCATGTATAATCAACGGAAAGAGGACTCTAGGGTTTGGTTGGACCTCATGATTGCATGGTCATGATGTATTGAAATATGGCCTTTTCAATACTCAGACTCTTATTTTAATCATCTAGGAGGCCGGGGTGCTGACTTGGACAACCCTAGCGATATCCAGGCTCTGTTCCACGAGCTAGGATCGCTGAGCTGCGAGGAGGATTCGGGAAACGAACAGGACACCATGTCGATATCCAGCACTCCCAAGCCTAGTCTACGCCCTTTTTTCAGCAGCAGCAAGAGTCTGTTGGATTCGAATAATCTACCGTATATCGAAGCTGACAGGGTACGTTTTTTTTATTTGTTCAGTATAGGTACTTGTCATTTTTCAAGAAGGAACAACGTGGAGTATGTATTTTCTTGAGCATATTTCATTAATTTTTTAAGAACAAAAATTTAAAAAGGTTTAATATATTTATACAGGGTGTCTGCCAAAAAAGTGCAAGTATGTAACTGATGGTAGTATATTTTGATCCCGGAAGTACACCTATTAAATTTTTTGCAAAAAAATCTACTTTCTGATTGTTCTGTTGAAAACTTATTCATCAGTTTTTGTGAAATTCTGTTCATAGTCAGTTAAACTGAATATTATACAGAGTGTCTCAGATTTTAATCGGGAAAATTTAATAGACGATAGAACTTGCAAAAATAAAACAAAAAGTTCATATCAACTTGTAAGATTTAAAGCTTCCTTTTCGAGATACAGGGTGTTAAAGTTACTTAAAAAAAGAAAAAAAAATTAAGATATTTGAAAAACTATTTAATCGAATTTGATATAACTTGACCCGTTTATAATACTAACTGTGGGACTTAATTTGATGTAATTAGATTTAGGTTTAATGGCCAGGGGCGGTGGTGGGGCATCACTGTTAAATTATTTTAAAGGAAAAAATAGGCACGCCACTGCTTTTTTAAAAGTTTAATATTATTTTTGGATCTAGTAATTAAAAATATTATTTTTTTGTCTCCTGACTTTTTTGTCTATCTTGTTTACTTCTTGCAAAAAAAAATCTAATTGGTAATTAATATTATAATTAGTATTCTAATGGTACTCTGTATCTCGAAAAGGAAGCTTTAAATCTTACAAGTTGATATGAACTTTTTGTTTTATTTTTGCCAGTTCTATCGTCTATTAAATTTTCCCGATTAAAATCTGAGACACCCTGTATCTCCGAAACTAAGCATTTTAGGACATATATAATTATAAGAACTTTTTATAAAAATACAGTTCGGGCTACCCTGTATAATAAGATAATTCTCCCGTTTCTTAGGTGGGAGAGGAGAAAACAGCTTCAGGTAGTGACGGTAATGCAGATGTTTGTTTTACCGACCCGGAAGGGCAGAGCGACCCTCAGACAGGATCACCTCCAAGAGAACAGTCAGCTGGGTCGAGAAAACAGACTGTAAGATGGGGTTTCATCGTGTTTATTCGGTACTCATCGTTTTTCTGTGTGTTTCTAATAGGGCGAAAGTGAATTTAGCAACATTATGCAGGAAATCAGCGAGAAAAAATCGAAGTTGTTTAGGACTTCGGCGTCTTCGGCTAAAAAGAAAAACTCGCTGAGCGTCAGTTCGGATGTACCTGTTCCAGAAATCACTGTAAGTATTGTTTACGTCACTCCTAAACATATTATGGTTACTGATTGAACAGCCAATTGCTTTGAATAAAAAAAATAGGGAAGGAGTATAATGCTATTAATGGTATTCATGCACAAAATGGAATCGACATTATTTAGGGTGTATTCCGTTGCAAAATCAGGCCAACCAGACTGGTAAAGGGCGGTTCCTGAAAAACATTGGTTTGATACGGAACGGTTTGGTAAAATACTGGAAACGTCAAATGTTGACGTTTTCTAAATTTCAATACCTCTAGTATAAAATTTATCTTTTATGCATTTTTAATGTACCTATTCTCTGCTTTTACGTTTGCTTCTTCTTTTCAATGGAGTTTAATATTGAAAAGTACTTTATTAATAAACTGTTAAACTCGTTAGACAGCTCAAGTGAAGATTTGCTGGGCCAATATTAAAACAGATCAATAATAAATAAACAGATCTAATCAATATTTATATTTTTATAGCTTACAAAACACTCGCGATTACTTGTTGTCTTGTTTTTCATATTTTCTATAAATATTCCTGACTTTAAGAAACAATGACTGCATGGTAAGTTTAAATGGTCCTAAAAAGTAATTCTATTTAGTTAATGAAATTTATTTACCTTTACTGCCTACCTCCATTGCTTTTGGATGTAAATAGAAAATATTATTACAAGTTTTAGAAATTAAATGAGAATTTCATTCGAACTTCCAATATTTGCTTGATTTCTGTCACACAAATGACATTGATTGACAAACAAAACCAGAAAAACCAGCCTTCTCGCGCTGGTTAATTTGGTGACAGTTATAACCGAATTTTTCAGGAACTGTGTTCCATAATAAGAAAGCTTTCAAGAAACCGATAGAAACGGAACATAAAACCATAACCAAAGGTAAGCAACGGAATACACCCTTAATAATTCCCATTCTTGACAGTTCTGTTTGACGTTTCAATTGACACATTTGAATTTGTTTTGAAATTTTGCAGATTTTTTCTAAAAGTAAAGCTTGATTTTCATGCATCCGTTGTCCGACGATACGATGATGACGATATTAATTTTACTGGTTGAATTTAATGACTTTGATTGGTTAGAAAATTACGCAGTTTTTAAATTTATTGCATTTTCATGTTCAATACGATATACGATTTGCTTGCGATTAATATCATTTTATATTTTAATTTCCGTAACGATTTCGCTGTTTTACTTATAGTCTAAAAGCTAGCAACGTTTTCGAGAGAGAATTTTAAGAATGCTCGTTCTCTAATATATCTTTTGCTATGCTCTCCTGAACAGAGTGTGGATCGTCTGGCTGCCGGTAGACATGCGCGTTCACTACAGCGCATTATATTTGTATTCATCGTCTGTTCACTACTGCGTATCACAAATTCGTCCTGTATTTCAGGAACTAAGGAGGCTAGGACAAACCTATGTGTAGCATATTTAGTTTTATAAAAGAGTAGCAAAATAATGTGAAAATCGCATCATTATATGTCTACTTATAAACGGGAAATCCCATAAAGCACACGAACTGGGATACCCTGTACAGATGTGATGCGCATTAGTCTATCGGCAGCCAGACGTTCCGCACTTTGGTCAGGAGAGCATACCAAAAGATATGTTAAAGAACCAGCTTTCGTAAAATTCTCGTTTTCTCATCGGTAGTAGCTCTAGTATTATTATATTTTTAATAAGGTTTAGATTAAACTTGTCAAAATGTCCGTTATTGTACGATCTTTCTCTGAATGAAATTTCTCGGGATGAAAAGTGGCGCAAAAAGGCTATGACCAATCAGACGCATGAAAAACTTTCTTTCAATTATTCAATAAAAACAAAAATCGTAATATAAAAGGAATAAAAAACAAAGTAATCACCTCAATCTAAAAAAAAACAATAAAAACTATTTTAAACCAAAAAAAATCGCATGTTTTTTATTCAACCCTGCTATAGGTAAGAAAAGGTTTCATGGAACAAATATCCAGACTGCTGCCCGTCGAGGAGAACCTGCTTCCAGACTGCGTAGTATTGATATCAGGACCCGAGGCGATGGCCGCCACCATTACCAATAGGTTAAGCTCATTCCAGACGTACAAAGTGTTCCATCCAACGTCCTCTGTCGAGGTGAAAGCGGTATTAACAGCTGTGTTTTCGAAAATACAGAAATAGTAAGTTTTAAAGCAGATTAAATTTTTTTATTATTATCATTAGATCAGATTTTTGACGTGGCTATCGGTCTCTTTGTCACTACGCAATTAAAATAATATTTTTTTCTCTAATTTTAGCTGTAATAGCTGCGCGAAACCCAGCACACCCCTCAAAATCGTGCTAGTCGGTGGCGATATCCTAACCGGATGGTTCGTACGCCCCTACGTCGAGATGCTGAGCAGCAAACCATCCGATTGGCTGTCGTACACGCGGCTCTTTGTCGTTCCGCTCGGTAACAGCGGCGTGTCGCGCCATTTGGCAACGCTGGACAGCGGCTATATGACTTTGTTCCCTGCGGAGAACGATCCAAAAGGAGACGATATTGCTCAAAGGTTAGTTGAAGTACCTATGTTTAAAGATAAGGGAAATAAAGAAGTCTATCTAGGCTTTTTATACTTTTATTTGTTTATTCAAGTGTTTTTTTAGTTCTTGAAATAAAATACCTAGGTAATACACTACTATGGAATGTAGAGATGAGGAGAAATATCTCTTATGGGACTTTATTTGAAAAAGTGGTCACACAAGGTCTTCCAAGAGAAGAATAAAGGTTCACCAAATGACCACAGTGGCGCTAATGACGCATTAATCTAAAAAATGAAAAGTAACCATAGATAAGAGAATAAACGTAACATAATCCAACGTTACCCCTAAAAGCTTTGTTTTTATTTTTTTAGAATACAAAACAATTATTTTTATATATTAGAGGCCCAGTCTATTGCTTCTGAATAAAAATCGATAATTTATTTCATGTGATATGAAAATAAAATTTGTATTTTTTTGAAACCCGCGCCTTTACGTCAAATATTTAGGTCTTTTGAATCATTTTCTGTTCTAAAAATTTTCGGCGCATATTTTAAATTTTAGATTTTTGCTACAGCAGCGCCATAAGTCTTTCCTTTCTTATGACCCCATTTTTTAATGCACGAATATATTTCTCCTGACCTCTATACTCCATATACACTACATAGAATAATATACTGATCTTTATTATCTTTTTTAGATTAGTTAGGTATACTTCTGTCCCTATCACTGCTCCTCTGGCTCAACTTCCTATTGGCGAAGCTATGTTGACATGTTACGACGAAACTAGTCAGTTATTCATTCCATTTATTAACGTAAGTATTCATCTCTTTATTGTCTTTATTAAGCATGGTTGTTATGTTATAAATATTTTGCTCAAAATCAAGTGTTTTAATTGTGTTACACCATTACTTGTTTTAAAATTTGTAGCTTCTGAATAACGGTCTAGGTAAAGCATCTAGCTCATTTGCTAGCTAAGAATTAGAATTATTAGAGTTAACCAACTCGCATTTTCATTGGATGCACAAACGGTACATTGTGAAATAGGAAATTGTAGAGAGAAACAAGCCCTATAACATAAGATACAACATTTTAATGAACAGTGCTTTCCATAAAATCAATAAAATGAAAAATATACGAAATAATATAAACGTACTGATTTCTTTCGAAAATCGACAACTATGAATCTATGAATTCTTCCCGGACACAAACGGTACCTACATTGTGAAACAGGAAATTGTAGAGAGAAACAATCCCTATAACATAGGATACAACATTTTTGATGAACAGTGCTTTCCATAAAAACAGTAAAATGAAAAATATACGAAATAATATAAATGTACTGATTTCTTTCGAAAATCGACAACTATGAACTCTTCTGAAACTATGAACTCTTCCCGGACACAAACGGTACATTGTGAAACAGGAAATTTTAGAGAGAAACAAGCCCTATAACATAGGATACAACATTTTAATAAACAGTGCTTTCCATAAAATCAATAAAATGAAAAATATACGAAATAATATAAATGTACTGATTTCTTTCGAAAATCGACAACTATGAATCTATGAACTTGGAGGGCGTTGTCATATTTATTATAAACCAATAATCGACGAGAATATTTGTATAATTTAATAAAATTACTGTAAACCACTATAAATACGAATTGTTGGTTAGGTTCAAAAAATTTTCTCTTCTTAAATAAATTTAAGCGTTAACATTATTAGGCATTTTCATAAAAGTGTGTATTTTGGGTAGTATTCTACAAAATTTGCATGCTATTAACGAAACAAAAAATGTACAAATTACAAAAATAAATTGAAAATAATATTTATATGAAAATAGCATTATTTATGTTGCTTTTTCAAACATGTTCTTCAAATTCTTCAGTTTAATAGCTGTTAGTAAGAAGTTTCATTTCAAGTGCACACACTGTTTTTTTTATAATTTTTGATAAAGATAATAAGAAAAACTCTCTTGTAACTATACAATAAATAAACTCTAATACAGAAAGGAATTAAAAACAAAAACAAAGTAATTTTATGTAGCGTGTCCAACGATAAATTTCTTGATAGTGATAGATGTGTCTGTCATTTTAATGTTAAAGTAGTTTATTTTATTTTACAAAGAAATAAAAATAAAAAAAAAACCTTGTTTTTTTATCCCTGTTAGGAGGTAAGAGTTGGTCCCGCAGATCACGTTCTCTCAGTATCTGTGGATATGGACGACATCTGTTCCAGTCCCCCCGCTCCCTCACTAACCCCGCCCTCCTCCCCAAACGTTCAAGTGAGGGAATCTCCATGGGAACCGTTAGAATTACAGATCGACTATTGGCAGATGCCCAAGTTCAATGAAAACCTCATAAAGGTAAGTCCAGTATATTAAATATGGTGCGTATAATCATAGTTCAGCACCTTTTTGCGTGGTTATTTCGTATTTTCTTGCTTTAATTAATGGTTGACTTTCTGCTGTGTGTACAAATCTGGAAGAATATTGTGCCAGGACTTGTGAATTTTTGAAAGAGGCTTCCAAAACAGTTACTTTTCGAGTTAGATTTAGAACGCGGACTTAGAGGTCGCCTGAATATATTTTTCTTCTCTGTAACAGACTGACAAAGACAAAACTAAGCAGGACGGTAAGACGTCACTGAAGGGAGTTTTCAGGGGCTTGCAAGCGTCGCCGAGCAGTAACGCTGGCCTGTGCGTCAATATGCACATGGCCAGTAAAGAGAAGAAACAAAAAAGTAAGTTAATACTACTCTAGGCGGGGAATTAAATTTATTCCTGTGTATTTTGATTTTAGTTATGAGACTGGGCAAGAAGAAAGAGAAGGAAAAAGACTCTGAGCCTCGGAGTCAGAGTGTCGAGGGCGTGTCCAGGTTGATATGCTCTGCCAGGGCTTCGCATACTGTCCCTATGAGAGGTACGTCAATAAAAATCGATATTTTTTAACCCAGCCGACTATAGATCATACCGAATAAACTTTTAGTCACGTGATTAAGCTTGACCGGCACAGCGTTGCCGACTTTTACATATTTTCTTTTAATCTAAATATTTTAAGAAACAAAAATGAATTATTTATTAATATACAGGGTGTCCCAGAAATAAGTGCAAATATTTTAACTGGTAGTATAGTTCAACCCCAGAAACACGCCTATGAGGTTTTTTTTGCGAAAAAAAAATGTTGAAAATTTAAAATTTTTCTTGACATTTTCCGGGAAATTTGAAAAAACTTTTTAGTGCCACTTGTTTATTCACCTGAGATTTCTCTACGGTGTATCTAAACCTTGCAGTGTTGCAACCTCCTATGTTATCCACATTCTCCATAGTTCTACATTTATAAATTCATAGACAAATTTAAAATTAGGAATGTTAAATTTAATCTTTTATCAGTGCTCATTATTAATAATTATTATAGAAAAAAAAACATTAAACTAAGACTATGAAAAGGTTGATAACAATTTGACGTTTATACTATTACGTCAAAAGCAAGAGTTTTTGTAATTTGAGGAACACTATACAACGATAGACTCTACTGTTTTTAGATTTTTTTTGAAGTTATGTACGTTTTCTTTACAGTTTATATCGACGGTGTGGAGTTTGCAGGCGTCAAATTCTTCCAGCTCAGCTCGACCTGGCAGACGCACGTCAAAAACTTGACAGTCTCCCTGGTGGGCGTGCCCTTGGCCAGCACCGAAATGAACTGAACCGGCGCCATCTGTCCGCGGCTGTTGCGAAGTAAACTAAACGTAGGTTTGTTCCGCGCGTTGCCATTTCGACAAACGCTTGCTTTTGCTAGCTATACAGTTTTTTCCGTGTTTGTTGATTAATACTGCGCAGTCCTCAAGTTTTTTCTATAAGCGAGAAAGGTCTAGGCGTTTTTTGTAAGAGTAGGAGCTTTAGCGGGTCTGTTTGGGCACCGTATGATTGTAAAACAAATGTAGTTAAGTGGGTTGTAATTTTTTTAAGTAAATTAAAATTATTTTTAAAGTTTTTTAGTTGTGTGGAGTTATATACTTGTCCGTTTATTAAATTCTGTCCAAAAAGTCAGGGAAGATTTGGATCTTTGAATCAAAAGATTAAGGAACTTGACAGTTCAGTGTGACGATTCATTTGACACATCTGAATTTGATTTGAAATTTTGTGAAGTTTTTACTGAGCTTATTTTATGTTATTTGTTATTTATTCTACTACTGATAGTTGTTTAAAGGTAGTAAATTTTGAAGGAACTTGTGGCATAAGAATTTAGATACGTCAATTTGACTTACGCTCTTCAGTAACGTATCGGATGTTTGTGTTAATAAATAATTATAACTTATCTATTTTTATTAGAATTATATATTTTTATAACAATTTTAATAACTACCAACATTTATTAATTAATAACTACACTACATCATATTTTTACACGTTTTGCCCATTTTAGAAGCCCGTTGCGTTGAATCTAAGATTTTTGATATACTCCTTTCTTAATCTTTTTATTCAAGGATTTTGACAGACGATATCCAAAAAATGACAGAAAATACAGTTTACCTGTGAACAAAAATGACAGACACAACTGTCATTGTCATGTGTCCTATCGTTGGGCAGACTATAACTATCACTGACGTCAGTAATAGATAACAAAGAAATCAGTGATAGTTAACAAAGAAAAGGTGTGACTTACATTTCTAAGATACTGAAGGGAAATAACAATTGTTATACCATTAAATAACTGAATAGAAAATACTAAAGGAGTTAGTTATTGTTAAATAACGTTTAAACAAAACTTAGATATACTTACTCCAATTGAAATGTAACTTCTTCTAAAAAGTTAAGAACAAGTAAAATTTTAACTTTACAGAAATTTTCACAGAGTGTCACATGAGCCCACTTAATTTTATTTGTTTACGATGTACCGTATTTTTTGAATGGAAACAGGTATTTGACTTTGTATAAGATCTTGTCTATTTATAATTATTAACTTTTTAAACAGTTATATGCAAAAATAAGGACCACAAACTTGTTTAGTTCAATTCAGGAGTGAAGAAATATTATTGTACCATAATACATAATATGTATGATGTATGCACAGACAATGCGTAAACAAAGTCTATGATACATTTTTCTTGAGGTAGACCATCCTGGACACTGTATCTACGTGGTCTGTATTTTAATGGATGCAACAGAGATGCACATATATGACCGGTTGACAGACAGAGAGACAAAATAAAAAGAGGCATACAGTGTTGCCGGTTTTTACGTGTGTAGGAAAATGTTTGTAGAAAAAAAAATATCATAAAAACTTTCATGTATACACTGAAATGAAGATAATATATCTAAGCTTAATACAATCTATTAGTACTAGAAGAAAAAATATTATAAAAACTTTCATGTATACACTGAAATGAAGATAATATATCTAAGCTTAATACAATCTATTAGTACGAGAGCTAGCAACGTCGGTAAAACAAGTATTTTAAGACGTCTGACTCTTTGATATATTTTACTATGCTCTCTAGAACAGCATGCGGCCCGTCTGGCTGCCAGTAAACGTTGCGTTCCCTACTGCGCATTGAAAGAAGATCCTATATTTTAATTACCAGTAGTATTATTTTATTATAAACTATAATAGTCCTTATGAAGTACCTCAGGATATTTTATACTGCAATAATACTACAGTTTGATTTAGTAATCTGTCAACAATTTTTATGTTCATTTAATTTTATCTACGAGTGAAAATATTTTTTTATATTTATCGATCTTTTCTTTGGTGGTAGCTTGATAATCATAGAATATAAATGAGCATCTCTTGTTAATATTCTATGATTATCAAGCTATATCCAAACAAAATACCGATAAAATAGAATAGTACAAAAAAAAGAAATTATTAAATATGATATATAAAAAAATTACGTTACTTTTTCTTCACGGCTGTTTTTTGGTTTAAACAACTTTGTGGTACCTACGCTATAATCTTTCCTACAACCATTTAACCATTGTTCAGTACTATTTATTTGCTTTGCTTCCTTATATCCATTTAAAGGAATTAGTGGTTTGTTTTTCTAGTCACTGATATTGGACGTTCTCAGTGTCCGAATGTTGACAATACGGTTCTTTAAAAAAGTTCGGAAAATGTTGAATATTGAACGTTTTAAGTGATAGACAGCACCTGTACTCTCTCCGGTTTTATTTATTTATTTTTTCTCACATGAATCTAAGTCTGGTCAGTGCGACGGCTGAATATATTAATTCTTTCCTTTTGTGTTAAATGTAAAGATTAAGAGAATTATATGGTGAAGTTAACTAAAAATGGCACCATCCTGTGATAGATAGGCCATAGAATAAAAACTAGTACAGAGGTGGCATATGCTGGGGGGTAAATAAATATTTATTTATGAATTATTTGTCTTTACTGTCTGTGGTTTTACTACAGGATGTTTTTCAAGTGGCTCACCCCTATAATTTTTTTATTTTTTTTTAGATAAAAAAGCCAGATTTGGTATCTTCGTAGTATGACATAAATCAGGGATTGATTGACGTATTCACTTAGTTTTGGTCACTTCCTGTTTCACCGGAAATTACTACAATTATTATTTTTAAATGTTATCCTCGATATACCTACTCTGCTTGATAAAAAAGTTACATTCTGAATAGAATGACATATGTCAACTTTTTTCATTTTCACTTAAAAATAGTGTTTTAATTTTCAATCTATTCTTCCATGGTTGTGTTAAAACCACTAATTTTTAATCAAGAGAGCCTTGGAAAAATAGATTTGACAGTCTCATGATTTTCGTGATGTTTTCTCTGGTTGGTTAAAACATGGCCCAACACTATTTTTAATTATAACTCAATTTTTTCAAATGGAAAGGGGGTGGCTCATTAGTATATTTGGAAAAAGCATTTTTTAACGAATAATTTAGTACCACCTACTTGGTATTCAAATAAAATTGAGGTTATGAACACAGCCATTGCACTCTAGATTGACATTTAAACATACCAAATCTCGTTTTTTTGTTTGAAAAAATCAAAAAGTTACAGAGGTGAGCCATTTTTGTCAAACATCCGGTATATCTGGACATCACCACCCTTTAAAATGTATTTCTATTTAAAAAAAAAGTGATGAATGTTTTTTCACTGTTTATATGATCTCATTTTTGAGTCACATTAAAAGTTACTCTATAACTAAAGACCATGTTTGAACTGAGATATTTTTCTTTGAAGATTTGATAAAGAAATAGTCATTCTACTTTTTTAATATCCATAGATTTTATTTATATATTTATATAGAGATTTTAGGTGCTGTCTGTATAAAAAAGGTATGATTTTTTACAGTGAAAATATAATAGTCTTACGTTAAGAATACTCTGTATATGTGATATAGTTTGTAGTAGTTGTTTGAAATTCATATCAAGAGTGCTAAGAAGAAGCTTACTACGGCGAATAAAAAAAATTGATTTGTAAATTTTTTATTTTGTTTAGGTATAAATAATAATATAATTAAAAGTGGCAGCTTGTTATTAAGATAAAATGCGAGAATTATATATATATAGGTTTTTGAATGTTTGTATTATTTTTTGTATGGATCAGAGTGGATTTTAAATTGTTTTTTGATAATATTTTTACGGTTTGTCTTCACGATTTTATTATACTGTCCCACTGGGAATGGACGGAAGTGATATACAGGGGTTTCAGACAAAAAACAATCTCCGTAATTTTTTTTTTTTGAAAATGGTAAAAATTATGAAAGTTTTAGTTACTTTTTAATTAAAGTTAATATAAGGTGAGTTAAAAATAAAAATAAGTGTCATATGGGCGTCGATATTATCGTGAAAATGAACTGTCAAAAAGGTACTTGCAGTTTAGATACATTAAAAACGTATTATGTCAAAGAGTCAGGAAAGATTTTGACAGACAACATCCAAAAACTGACAGAAAATTGAATTTGCCTGTGAATTAAAATGACAAACAACTATCAGAGCTGGGCTTGTGACAGTTCGCTGATAAAACGTTGTGAACGTGAGGTTATGCTAACGTGACCTTAAAGATACGGTAATTTTAACACATAAGGATAAAAGAGGAAAGCAATTTTAGGAAAAACGATTTACCAATGTTCTTAAAAATAAACAAAATATATTATTATTATTTTTTGATTTATGAATTTGACTGCGAGTACCTCAAAATCCGTAAATTAAAATATTTTTTAAAGACTGCTTTTTGTTAGGATGTATATAATTTCTTTTCGGAAACATTGTTCGGACGTACTAAGTATATTGAGAGTCGTTTTTTGTGATATTTTTTGCTTCTGCGAACTTTAAACGACAAAGTTAGCAAAAATAAAAACAAACAATTTGTATATTTTGGAGAGTTGATTTTAGTAAGATAATAAGCGCTTTCGAGATATTAATACTGTTAAATTTAGAAAAATCGGTTGAAAAACGTGTACATATATAACAAAAGTTTGATGGTGATATCATTCGTTTGTTCATAGATTATTTTTGTTTCTTTTATTTCTGGAGTTTAATAGATAAAATAATTAATAGATTCATATTAATGACAGATATGACACCTGTCTAAAAATGTCAAACTGAAACTATATATTCTAAAGTCCCTAATTATTATTCTGTGATTATCAAAAGTTTCTGAAAATATCTTACTATCGAGGGATAGAAAAAATGATTATAGAATCATTGACACATGTCATTATATGACAGCTCTTATGGCGGCAATTTAAAAAACGTCCTTGAAACAGGTAAAATCTGTTATTTAGAGACAAAATATCACTTGTAACCCCATTTTGGAAAGTAAACAATGGATTTTAAATAGATATTTTGCCTGAAATAGGTAATAAATAAAATAAAGTCAACAAAATGTTGAGTTTTAAGACAGTTTTAGAAATATTTTGATTTGAATGTTTTGATTACTGAAAAATATATTGACCAAGTCATTTTATTTATTTATTTTATGAACAGAATCAAAGTAATAATTTATTTTTATTGTTATTAAATTTTATTTTATTGAATAAAAAAAGCGTCAAATAGATGATATCATCATTTAAGAAATACATTAATTTGAAATGAGGAATATTCCATTAGAATTTAACTGTGTGTAAAATAATATGCTATGGTGCAATGCCTCAACTATGAAGTACCATTACTGATATTAACTAAATATAATAAAATTTTAAGAACTAACTTTTTCTTATATTTAGTTAAAATCATCAGTAGGTAGGTACTTTGTTTTTATTAGTGTTTATTATTTGGCCTCTGCCTGTATAAGGTGGGGATTGTTAACTCTTAGATAGTTGTGCTGGATAAGTACAATGCAAGAATTATGTACTGAACGTGTAACCACATTACTTGTATTATATTTATTTTTGTGATATTATTAAAAGAAGAAGAGTTGTCTGACGAGACACAGTTCCAAGAAGCGTCAGTAGTTTGTCAATAAATTTGAATTTTGTAATAAATTTTTGCAATAGTGTCCAAAATACAGTTGTTTCATTTAAGTACCTACAGTTTGTATTAAAAGAAAATCTTCAATTTTTTTTCAGTTGGGAAGAGTTGTTATTTGTCATATTGAAGAAGATTACGTGAGAAGAACTATAGTATAGGTAAGGTTACATGTTTTTTTCTCGATTTTTACATTCTGGCGGGAAATACACTATACGTTAAAGTGAATATATACAGGATGTCCGGAAATTAGTGCAACAAAATTTGGTCATAGATTCTTAAAAAAAAAAATAGGTGACTCGTATTTTTGATTTTTGACGAGTGGCCTCCCTTTTCGGATTTACAGCCCCCTGAATTTCGCCCCTAAAAAGAGTTTTTTTTAATATCTCAGGGCCCTGTTGGACGAAAATCACTAAATTTGGTATAAAATAACATTTTTTGATGCTATTAACTTTTTTTTTACTTTCATCAGTGGCCTCCCTACGGTATTTAAACTAAATATTGAAGAAAAAAATGGTACGCCACTGTTTTTTTTTAAATAAAAATTATTTTTAAAATCTACATTAAATTCGAAACAAATTTGATCTCTTAACTTTTTTTTGATACGACGTACCGTTTTCGTAAAAAAAAATAAAAATCATTTTCATACATGACTAATTTAATACATGACGCTAAAATTTTACAGTAAATTTCAATGGCAAATTTTTTTAAACGGCAAACTTAAGTTTAAAATAATTTTTTATTTTCCAAAATCTTGTTTTTATTACCTAAGTGCGAACCAAAATGTTGCTATGAAAATTTACATTAAAATTTTAGGGATTTGATCATGTATGAAAATGGTTTTTATTTGTTTTCGTCTACCAAAAAAAGTCAAGAGATCAAATTTGTTCCAAATTTAATGTAGATTTTAAAAATAAATTTTATTTAAAAAAAAACAGTGGCGTACCATTTTTTTCTTCAATAATATTTAGTTTAAATACCGTAGGGACGCCACTGATGAAAATAAAAAAAGGTAATAGCATGAAAAAGGTTATTTTATCAAATTTAGTTATTTTCGTCCAACAGGACCCTGAGATATTAAAAAAAACTCTCTTTAGGGGCAAAATTCAGGGGGCTGTAGATCCGAAAAGGGGGGCACTTGCCAAAAATAAAAATACGGGTCACCTATTGTCTTTTCAAGAATCTATGACCAAATTTTGTTGCATTAATTCCCGGACACCCTGTATAGTGGAACATCAATAATATCTTTACGGGGCTTCGCTAATCACCGATCTCGTAAATAACTAGTTTTTTACAGGTAAAAATAGTTTTTTACACGTAAAGAATTTTTTTCACTTAAAAAATTGTTTTTGTTTATCTTGCCTTCAGAGAATATACAGGGTGGGTCTTAAATAAGTACAAATATTTTCCGGTTTGGTTTGATCTTGATAAAAGAAACATATCTTCTCTTTGTCGTTTTTCAAATAAGTTTAAAATAACCGAGTAATTTTTCTTTGAAGATTTCCAAAAAAATTGTTTTTTTGCTTAAATTTTGAGAACCACTATCTTTTCTGGGTTTTCTTTCCTGTAAATTTAATCTAATCACAACCTATGTTGCCATATTATCAAGAAATTATGTTTTTAACTAAAATCTAAAAAAAAATTAAAAAATTTCAAATTTTCAATTTTTTTTCGCGAAAAAACCTCAATAATCGTGTTTCTTCGGTCGAAATATATGGCCCCTGAAAATATTTGCACTTATTTAAGACTTCCCCTGTATATATTTTACCTTTAAAAGTGTTAAGTGCTTTTAAGTTCTTAAGCAGGATATTTAAAAACATAAAAACTATTTTTACGTGTAATAAATATTTTCTTTGTGTAATATCAAATTTTTTACTAAAAGCTTTTGTCTAAAAACAAGTTCTTTATAGGTCTGTTCCCAGAAGAATCCCCGACTAGTCAGCGCGTTTCTTATTGGTTGAAATGCGTAGAAACCTGACTAACAATCAGGTTTCTACTCATGTTAACCAATGAGAAACGTGCTGACTAGTCAGAGATTCTTCTGGGAATAGACCTTATGTATATTAAAAACTATTTTTTACCTGTAAAAAAATCGTTTAAGTTTTGTATTTACCCAACCCTGGTACATATTAACTATTTTTTGATATTAACACGACCTTCAATTTACAATCAATAAAATTATTTAAAAATGCCTTCACCATTTTGTCAAGAACATACATTATAGACTATTTTATCAAAATTTTAAATAAAATATCTTTTTTCATATTTAAAACAAAACAAAAATATTTCCCACTAACACACACTTATAAAAAAATACGAATTTCATTATTAATACTTTTATTTATAAAACAAAAATCGGTTTGCCTACAATAATTATGATTCTGCATTTTCCGAAACTTCATTCCCATCTAAAACAGCATTACTCACTGATTCTTTCTGCTTTTTTAACGCTTCTGCCAAATATTTAAACCGCATCATACATTCTTCCTATAAAATAATACAAGATTATTAAAAAAAATCACATATTTTCTCAAAAAACCTTTGTTTTATCTGGAACATTATCAGCTATCCTATCCCATCTATCCGTACAGCCTTTAGGATACTTTGCCAGCGCATCCTCCAAAGATTTTTGCTGTACCTGACTCCATTTCGTAATATTATCACTTGTATCCACATCTTTTTTCGTTTTCTGTTTGGTTTTTATTTGTGGTAACTCCTCCTCCCTTTCTGAAGGCAGTCTATATCCATTCTCCTTCATTTTGCTTGCCATGTATGTCACTTCTGGCACAGATCGGTTTAGTGCATCCGCAATGCTTTCCCACCTTCCAGGGGACCCTTGTGGATACTTTTTTACTAGACGAATCAATTCATCTAAGTCATCATCAGTCCACAGACCCCCAGATACTGGAGGAGGAGGAGATGAGACAGAACCGTCACTAAAAGTACCACCTGTTGGGGTTGTTTCAAAATTGGGACCCTCTGGAACAACAAACTTATTTCGTTTCCTCACGGTTTTGATTTTCACAGGCACCGGTTCTGGTTCAGGTGGAGGCTTTTTAGATTCTTCTATCTGTTGTGTTACTGCAGTCTTTATGAATCCTTAAAAAGTACTTAATTTTAACTTTAGTTAGAGCCGGATTGAGTTTTTATGAAAATAAATAGAATTCTTATCTACCTAGAGCGGAAGGAATGGAAATGATAGAAAACCACACTAATTTAGGAATCTGAAATGGTAAAGTATCGAATACTGATGGTTTTGGGATGATAATGTCTAAATCTTCTTCAAGCATTCTTCCTTTTTTTGGTGGTTTCTTTTTCTTGAGATTCTCTTCCTAAAATTATCAACTTCGCATACTGTAATACAATAAAAATATTCTATATATCTTACAATTGTAAATTTCTTTTCCAAATACGCCGCCCAGTATACTAAATATTGTCCAATTGTTAAAATTACAAATAATATCAGGCATACTTCAATCAAGCCCATTTTTCTAACATATCTGTAATAATATACAGCAGATCTCCAATTGGGTAAACCGTTGACTAAAACCTCATCGTAATACTTCCTTTTTGATGGAGTTTTAAGGATTTCATACACAGAAACTAAGTTACGAAACTGTTCATTTGTGTCCACATCTGGGTTCTTATCGGGATGTAACTTGAGCGATAATAATCGAAAAGCTGATCTAATTTCTGCACTTGAGGCATCCTGTAACCAATATACAATCAGTTTGGATCGTAGTTTTTAAAATAAACGTAAATTCATTACTTGAGAGACATTTAAAAGTTCATAGAAATTCTGTTTCACTTCATCCACAACGTCAAACACTTCAAGTTGCTCCGAGTCCCAAGCTAAACTAGAACTAGTAAAAATAAGAACTAGGACTATGTGAAAGAAGCCCATTATTGCTAAAATTTTAGAGTTTTGCTTGAAAATTTGTTATTTTTTTCTGGGACCACGTCAAACTTGGGTTATGTTTATTTTTTTTTGTTGTCTTTTTCTTACAGTTACCATAGATTTTAATTTGATCTCTCTCCTTTGATTATTTTTTTAGGAAACTGGCCAGATGACCTATATGAGTTTAAGCCATATAAAAATAAAAAGAAGAAAGTATATGTTAATCTGTGGTTGCCCATGTTTAGGTTCCCAAATACAAAAAAGAAGAAGAACGCAGGTGGCGCCATTGTGAGAAAAAAAAAGTGAGAAAATTTGGAACTAAAGTATTTGCAAGGTTGCCAAGATACTAGTGAAATCCTGAAACTAATCTAAATCAATATTTTTGGAAGTCTAAAATTAATTGAACCGTTACAAGATCATGATAAATCTGATAAACATATAATACAAACTTTGTTTCAGTAGAATAAATACATTTTCTTTTCGACGCAGCATTATTTCTGCATCAAAAAATGACCATCCTGTTTTATATTTGTTCAATCTTACAACGTCTACGCGCCATATTGTTTTCAATTGTTTTCCGTTGTTAGCAGCAAGAAGTTATGTCGCTCTTAAAATTTTTCTGATTTTTTGATAGAAAAGTGCTTTTTCTGTACATCATTTGAGTTTATTCTGTTCCTTAAGGCCTGTTTAACCTCGTGAAAATGTAAGTACCCATTATTTTGTCTGTTTTCTATGTTTTTTTTCGGTTTCAAATTTTAGAATTACATCATCATTAAAAGCATATATTTTTCGTATTTTCATGATTTTCTTTTTCTAAATTGAGTATGTGGAAATATATATGCTTTTCTTGATGTCTCTATTTTACAGTAAAAGTCTAGTTGCCTCATATTTGGAGATATTTGATATTTTTTCCACCATTTTTTTTTGGGTAGATAAGATCGATGTTTTGCATTCCAAAATTTTTTTGGTGTTTATTCGTACAGGCAAACATGTATTTGCTACGTTTTTTAGAATAAGTCAGTATTAGTTTGACTATAGAGGTCCCTATCCCCAATAATTATGTAATACTTTCATGTTTAATACTATATACATTATCCTCATATTTTAGTTCATAATTTTGCACTATTTTAATATAATGCTTTAATTATTTTATTATTTTTTAGGAACTTTATTAAGAATACCCTATAAACAGATAAAGACCGCCTAAAAGAAGAGCCCCCCTATATAATCCTGATATTTCACCATCATTTTTGTTTACGAAAAAAAAGTAAGTTGGATTTATTATTTAACAATAATTTTAATAAATTTATTAAATGTTTATTAACAGATTTAACATTAATATGAAAATGAAACACTACCAAATTATGTTATGATTTAATGAAATGTAATGCTATTTTTCTTTTTTTCACAGATTTTCAACAACAAGCCGATGGATGTATACAGTTCCAAGGCAGTACATTTATCCTTTTGAGGAATATTACTAACAATGCATTAGGACTTATAAGTATATCTAGAATGTTATTTCTTTTGGGTAAATATAATTTCAGTAATTTTATACTGATCATCATTTTTATGATTTCATCATATTTATGAAAAAATTTTCCATGGGCATTGTATTCTCATATACAAATTCAGACCATTTATTTTTAATTTTGGTGAATTTTGAGCTTTTGGTCAGAATACCATCTACTTAGAACTTTACTTCGTATTGTTTTTGGTTCTCTTTCATTTCTTTATAGTAACTTGAGGTCCTATAATATCCTTGTTTGTGGGAATAATATCAGCATCTCCCCATATTCCATTGACTGTATTTCAATAAGTCATATTTGTTTGGCAAAATATACCATCTAGATACTTAGAATTTTTCTTCATGTTGTTTTTGGTTTCCTTTTATATCTCTATAATAGCTTGACTTCCATATTGTGCATACTTATTTAAGATTCACTCTGTATATATGCCTGTTTGTGGGAATACTATTATTTATGGATTCTATAAAATATTCCATTGGCTGTATTTCTATAAGTCTTTTTTATTTTTATTATTTTTCTTATAGTGTCATTCTAATTTTTTTTTTTGCTTTTCTAATTCCTTGTAGAGAATTTTAGTTTTGATGGATTTATTTTCATGTCATTTTTTTCAGACTATTTGCCATGAATTGTCATAATTTTACGGATCCTGTTGGTTTGATTTGCTTGTGTTTAAATGTAATTTAAACACACAATAACACACTTAAGTCCCACAATGATGATTAAACTCCAATAAATTCTTGGCGCATTCGCCATTTATCCAATAAATCTGTCTCGTCCACAGGATTCCACTTCTGGCTTGTCTAGCAATTTTTTCAATGAAATTTCCTATGTAACATCGACTCCAGAGCATTATAACTAGCCTCCCCTAAGAGGAGGAGACCCGGGTCACCCCCTAACCCTGCTGTTCGGGCATCGATGACCTATGTAGCATGCATGGGTACCCAAGGGAGTCACCACCCTCTGGTTTACGAGCTAGGTGTTCTAACGCTAGAGGCTTCGGCCGGATACGACCTGGCACCCAAGCTACGAGACTTCTTCGTGCACGTATCCCGTGACGTCTCGACAGTAGAGGGGGCGGGATATCGGACACATTGAAGATGATGAGGGGGGTCCGCCTGTAGGGGGTCCCGGTGGATGTCCGTCCGACGGGTGACGAGGGTGACCCGAGACGAGGCTGCTTAACTGGGATGGGAACTGACTGGTGAGGCTTAATCGTCGGCCAAGGGTTAAATCTGATGAAGGGGGGTGAAATTATATGCTCTGGAGGATTTTTCTTTATGTGTTTTATGTCAATCAGATTTTGACTAGATATTAGTCAGAAGAGGCTAAGCAAAATCTTCAGTCAATCTTCCAGTTCTTATGGACCAGATACTTCTTTATTTTTTTTCTCTTGTTTTTGGTTTAGGTACCTCTATTTCACAATTTTTGTCTACCATATTATTTTCTTTACTATTACAATCTTGTTCATCAATTCAATAAACTCTTCAATGATTTCTTAAATATATTTGTATATTTTTTAAATGGAATTTGGAAATCTTTTTCAATTTATCTTAGTTGTCTCTCCTATCATCTTGATTCTGGGGGGTGCAAAGCTAGTTCGCCTCCACGTGGTGCACCCTGGGTAACGCTAAATGAACTAGCAAATTCTGGTAGTCAGACAATCTTAGGATCTTCTTACCACAAGACACATTTCACAAAGTTTCAATTTTCTTTAAGAGATATGATGCAATCAAACAAGGCTAAGGGTCTGTTTTTTTTATTATTTCTAATTATCTTCTCCTATGTGGATTATTGTTTGTTTTACTGCTATTCTTCTAAGTCTTCCATGTCTTTGATTTAATTTCTATTGATGCCTACATTGAAATTTTGGATTAATTTTTTTTATTCTGATTTTAATTCTTTTTCAAGTTGAATTTTTGATTGGGATATTGTACTGCTTTGGAACGACGACTTTTTGGGACAACTGTATTTCAATTCAACCGCCCTCTTCAAAAGGCCATTAGGTTGATTAAATTCAACATTCAACAGTGCAATGGGGATGAAATTTATCATTGAAGAGGAACTAAATAATTTTAGGTAAAATATACTATTTTTTTTAAATCAACTATATTTAATAATCACCTATTATTATTGTATTTTGTAAAATATGTAGATAAAAATTATAATGAAGTGTAATCCTATTTATTTCTTTTTTTGCAGATTTTGTACAACCAATTGATGGATGTCTACAGTTCCAGGGCAGTACATTTATCTTTTTGATGAATATTACCAAAAATGGTATCAGGATTAATAAGTATATCCAAAATTTAACTTCTTTTGAGTAAATACATATATTTTTACTGGTTTTTAATGTTCATCTGTGGATTTCATCATTTTTAAATTTGATCAAGTAGGACAAGAAATCCTATGTGTCTCTGAGTTACATTTTATGGTTCATTTTCACTGACCAATTCATTATAATAACTTGATTCCCGTATTGTGTGCATTTATTTAAGACTCACCCTGTATATACGCTTGTTTGTGAGAATAATCTCCCCATCGATCAATTCTATAAAATATCTCTTTGAATATATTGCTATGCATTATTTGTTTGGTAAAATTACTTAAAATTTTACTTCATGTTGTTTTTGGTTAATTTTTATTTTGCTATAATAACTTAACTCCCATATTTTCTTCATTGTGGGAATAATTAAATTTTGCGATGATATTCAATAAATCTGACTCGTCCTCAGGTTTCCACTTCTGCCTTTTCTAGCATTTTTTCCGATGAATTTTCCTATGTAACATCGACTCCAGAGCATTATAACTAGCCTCCCCTAAGAGGAGGAGACCCGGGTCACCCCCTAACCCTGCTGTTCGGGCATCGATGACCTATGTAGCATGCATGGGTACCCAAGGGAGTCACCACCCTCTGGTTTACGAGCTAGGTGTTCTAACGCTAGAGGCTTCGGCCGGATACGACCTGGCACCCAAGCTCCGAGACTTCTTCGTGCACGTATTCCGTGACCCTCGAAGAGGCAGGGGGCGGGATATCGGACACATTGAAGATGATGAGGGGGGTCCGCCTGTAGGGGGTCCCGGTGGATGTCCGCTCGATGGGTGACGAGGGTGATCCGAGACGAGGCTGCTTAGCTGGGATGGGAACTGACTGGCGAGGCTTAATCGTCGGCCAAGGGTTAAATCTGATGAAGGGGGGTGAAATTATATGCTCTGGAGGATTTTTCTTTATGTGTTTTATGTCAATCAGATTTTGACTAGATATTAGTCAGAAGAGGCTAAGCAAAATCTTTAGTCAATCTTCCAGTTCTTATTGACCAGATACTTCTTTTTTTTTCTCTTGTTTATGGCTTGCCTCTATTTCACAATTTTTGTGAACCATATTTTCTTTATTATTACAATCTTGTTCCTAATTTTTCGTGCCATTATTTCCCAATTCATAACTCATTATTATGCCATTTTTCCAATTCATATATCTATATCGTTATTTTTCACACTTACATCTTCTTTATTATTGGAATATTATCATTCATCACTCTCCTATTGATTGTCTTTTATATAGACTTATATTTCTACATTTCTATTGCCTGTATAGAACTATATTTTTTATTCATATTCATTCCATACTTTTCAATTCGTCATATTTTTATTTCACTATTTATCTCGCATAATTTCTTCAGTATGGGAATTCCATCATTCATCAATTCTATAGACTCTCCATTGATTGCATTTGTATAATTTTTTTGTATCATCTGTCTGAGACTTTCCTAAGATGTATTTCATAATTTCTTTGATCTGTATAGACTTATAGTTTTTTTTTACTTATTTTCATGCAATTTTTTCAGTGCATCATATCTCTATTTTATTGTTTGTGTCCCATGTTTTCTTCCTTACGGGAATGTCATTATACACTACTTCTATAAACTCTCCCATTGATTGTCTGACTGATCTTGTTATTGTATGTATATAATTGTATAATTTTTTGTGTTATTTTTCTGAGACTTTTCTAAGTTCATCTTGTCATTTTCAAGGAAAAGTTTTTCAATTTATCTTAGTTGTCTCTCATATCATCTTCATTCTGGGGGGTGCAAAGCTAGTTCGCCTCCTCGTGGTGCACCCTGGGTAACGCTAAATGAACTAGCAAGTTCTGGTAGTCAGACAATCTTAGGATCTCCTTACCACAAGACACATTTCACATAGTTTCACTTTTCTTTAAGAGATATGATGCAATCAAACAAGGCTAAGGGTCTGTCTTTTTATTATTTCTAATTATCTTCTCCTATGTGGATTATTGTTTGTTTTACTGCTATTCTTCTAAGTCTTCCACGTCTTTAATTTAATTTCTATTGATGCCTACATAGAAGTTTTGGATTCATTTTGTAATATTTTTTTATTCTGATTTTAATTCTTTTTGAAATTGAGTTTTTGATTGGGATATTGTACTGCTTTGGAACGACGATTTTTTGGGACAACTGTATTTCAATTCAACCACCCTCGTCAAAAGGCCATTAGGTTGATGAAATTCAACATTCAACAGTCAGGAATGAAGATGAAATTCATCATTGAAGGGGAACTAAATAATTTCAGGTAAATTATACAATTTTCTTTTAAATCGAATATATTTAATAAACACTTTGATATTATTGTATTTTGTAAAATATGTAGATATAAATTATATTGAAGTGTAATCCTATTTATTTCTTTTTTTTACAGATTTTGTACAACAAATCGATGGATGTATACAGTTCCAGGGCAGTACATTTTTCTTTTTGATGAATATTACCAACAATGGTATCAGGATTAATAAGTATATCCAAAATTTAACTTCTTTTGAGTAAATACATATATTTTTACTGGTTTTTAATGTTCATCTGTGGATTTCATCATTTTTAAATTTGATCAAGTAGGACAAGAAATCCTATGTGTCTTTGAGTTACATTTTATGGTTCATTTTCACTGACCAATTCATTATAATAACTTTATTCCCGTATTGTGTGCATTTATTTAAGACTCGCCCTGTATATACGCTTGTTTGTGAGAATAATCTCCCCATCGATCAATTCTATAAAATATCTCTTTGAATATATTGCTATGCATTATTTGTTTGGTAAAATTACTTAGAATTTTACTTCATGGTTGTTTTTGGTTAATTTTTATTTTGCTATAACTTAACTCCCATATTTTCTTCATTGTGGGAATAATTAAATTTTGCGATGATATTAGCATTTTTTCCGATGAATTTTCCTATGTAACATCGACTCCAGAGCATTATAACTAGCCTCCTCTTAGAGGAGGAGACCCAGGTCACCCCTAACCCTGCTGTTCGGGCATCGATGACCTATGTAGCATGCATGGGTACCCAAAGGAGTCACCACCCTCTGGTTTACGAGCTAGGTGTTCTAACGCTAGAGGCTTCGGCCGGATACGACCTGGCACCCAAGCTCCGAGACTTCTTCGTGCACGTATTCCGTGACCCTCGAAGAGGCAGGGGGCGGGATATCGGACACATTGAAGATGATGAGGGGGGTCCGCCTGTAGGGGGTCCCGGTGGATGTCCGCTCGATGGGTGACGAGGGTGACCCGAGACGAGGCTGCTTAGCTGGGATGGGAACTGACTGGTGAGGCTTAATCGTCGGCCAAGGGTTAAATCTGATGAAGGGCGGCGAACTTATATGCTCTGGAGGATTTTTCCTTATGTGCTTGATGTCAAATGTTGACAATACCATTGTCCAATCTTCTAGTTCTTATTGACCACATATAGTTCAGTATGACATTTACTGACATTTCATCAGTTCTATTGCCTGTATCAAATTATTGCTTTTTTATATCCATTTCCATCTTATTTTTCCTGAAATCATCTATCATTTTCAGGCTAATTTTTCCAATTTATCTATAGTTTCATTAATTTTCACTCATATTTTTTTATTATTGGAATATCATCATTCATCACTCTTCTACTGATTATCTTATTTATATATTTGTATTTTTTTTGTGTCATCCTTGTCAAACTTTTCTTAGACATAATATTTCAATAATTCTATTGCCTGTATTATATTTTTTATTCGTTTTTATATAATTTTTTTCAATGCATCATATCTGTATTTTGTTATTTATCTTCCATATTTTCTTCCTTGTCGGAATGCCATCATTAGTCAATTCTATAAACTCTTCCTTTGATTGTATTACTAGGTTGTCTTATATGTATAAATTTTTTCACGTATATACCTCTATTTCTTTATGTGACTCTCATATGATTTTCATTCTGCGAAATCATCTATTAATTCATGTATTTCTGAGTTATCACTCATTATTTACTTGCTTTATTTAAAGAAATATTGTATTATTCTGTATCAAGACTTTTCTAAGGCATTTTATTTCTATTGTCTATGTCTATATAGAGTTGTACTTTTGGAGTTATTTCCATGACTTGTTCTATTCATACCGTACAGAGTAAAATAGTTTAATTTTTCTTAAATGGATTTTTTTTTCTGTATTGATTACATTTCTAAATGTCTTATTTTATTTGTATTATTACTTTATATATTATATTTATGTATTACTGCTTTGGAACAAGAATTTTTTGAGACAGCTGCACTTCAACCACCTACTTCAAGATGCCTTTAGGGTAATTGAATAATTCAACATTCAACAGCGGATTGAGAATGAAATTCATCATTGAAGTTGAAGCTTAATAGTTTTAGGTAAATTGTGCTAAAAGTTGTATTTTTTAAATTAAATATGTTTAATGTATTTTGTAAAATATGTAGATATAAATGATTAATTTTAAATAAGACATTTTGGCGCTTATTTTACATTAGTATATGCAACTAAATATACACTTAATTTGTATAATTTTTATTTTTAGGCAACTCTAAATACACCTAAGTGTATATAGAGTTGCCTATGTAAAAAAGTTTGAATTTTTTAATTTAGTTTTTAACACTTTCAATTATTATAATTAGAATATATCTTAAAAATTACATACACAGCTAAATAATTGTGTTTTTTCTTTGTAAGTTCTCTGTGTTACGAAGATTTCTGTATATCGCATAATATTTTATTACCCTATCAATATTCAGTTTTTAATCAAGCTTGTTTGTGAACAATTAATTAATAATTTCTTTATATTTTTCTTACAGAACCAAGACTATCCAGAAGGGTAGTCAGAAGATTTATTTATCTCAACATAGACATCAGCATGTCCATCACCACCTTGGATTATACTTTTTAAGTTACCCTTTGTTAATAAGATATAATATTAAAATAAATAATACTTAATAATAAATGAGTTTTATTCAACCAAAATATACTGTCTAATACTGAACAAAGAGAAAAAGTCATTTAATTCTCACAAAAATATATTCTAATCATAAAACACCTTAACAAGTTGTTCTGGAATTAGACAGTATTTTATATAAAAATAATACCTATGTCACCTCTTCGCTCTTATGTACTCCTGATACAAGTCCGAAAAAATTCAGCTTTTAATAAAAATTGAACGAAAAATGTTTAATCATTGTCCAAAATCACTGATTTCTATCAGGAACACATAAGTGCGAAGAGGTAAGGATTAAATTGAGTACCAATATTTACCTCTTTGCTCTTATGTACTCCTGATACATATCCGAGAAGATTCAATTTTTGTATAAGACTGCACGAAAAATTTTAAACCGGGTCAAAAATCGCCGATTTCTATCAGGAACACATAAAAGCGAAGAGGTAAGGAGCAAATTTAGTACCACATTTAAATAAAGCACCGATCAACGATATTTCTGCTATCTCTAGCACTTCGAACTCGTTTCCAAACTTCAACCCTTAATATCTCGGAAACTATAAGGGTTAGAGAGGAACGGAACTCGGCTTTCGATAGGCATTTCAACCCTCTATAAGGGCGCAAAACGAGGGCGCAATCGGAGACCAAAAAATTTTTTGGCGAAAAATGAGGTAAGGGGTTAACCTTCCTTCATTTTTGCCGAAAATTTTTTTTTGTCTCCGATCGCGCCCTAATTGTGCCCCCTTATAGAGGGTTGAAAGGCGAATCGAATGCCGAGTTCCGTTCTTCGATATCTCTTTTAGTTTAGAAGTTATGGCCGTTTTTCGAAAAAATCTAACTCATTCGAACTCGTTGGTCGGGTACTCCAATTTTTGCCAGGTCGAAATTATTTTTGGTCGGTTTTGTCAAAAGCGGAGAAATTTTAAATTTGTATCAGGAACATATGAGTGCGAGGAGGTATTTTTCGATACCAGGAGCAGTCAGTTACATTCACCATTTTGTCAAGAATTTATTTCGTTTATTTTTACCTCCTTATTCTTTATGTACTCCTGATACAAACTCTCAATTCTTCAGGCTTTACTGAAAATTGGAGTTAAAATTTTACCATATAGATAATAATATTTATTCATTTTCAACAAAATTTCCTATTAATATCAGGAGAATATAAGGGTAAGGAGATGAACTGTATCTTGTACTGTACCTTGGATACTATAAAATTGTCAAATAAAACAACAATTCATTTTAATAGTTTTATTTATTCATGATAAACTAATAGACACGTATACAATATTTCACAAAGATAAAATCTAAATCTAAATAGGAATAAATTTATTCTGGATGCAGATTACACCAATTTGTTAAACTAGTATACAGTATAAAAGATATAAGTTTTATGATCAAGTAGGCTATAATTTTAATCGTTAAAAAAATAAAGGTAATACCGTATGGTCGAAAAAAATCGACGTCCAGTTGGCTTTGAAATGACGATCGTTGACAGTCCCCATATAATTTTACATATAAAATGACAGCGATCTTCATTTCTAAGCCCTCGATGACGACATTTATTTTCTATCGTTTGGGTATCGTTATGATCGAAAAAAAAAACGGCGACCAGTTGGCTTTGAAATGACGATCGTTGACATTCCCCGTATAATTTTACATATAAAATGACAGCTATCTTCATTTCCAAGCCATCACTGACGACGTTTTTTTTTCTGTCGTATGGTACCTTACAATAAAAAAAAAAAACGGCGACCAGTTGGCTTGGAGATGATGATCAATGACATTCCCCATATAATTTTACATATAAAATGAGAGCGATCTTCATTTCCAAGCCATCGCTGACAACGTTTTTTTTTCTGTCGTATGGTACCGTATGATCGAAAAAAAAAACGGCGTTCAGTTGGCTTGGAGATGACGATCGTTGACATTATTGACATTCCCCATTTAATTATAAAATGACAGCGATCTTCATTTCCAAGTCATCGCCGATGTTTTTTTTTCTGTTGTATGGTACCTTATAATAAAAAAAACGGCGATAAGTTGGCTTTGAGATGATGATCGATAACATTCCCCGTATAATTTTACATATAAAATGACAGTGATCTTAATGTCCACGCCATCCCTGACGCCGTTTTTTTTTTCGATAGTATGGTATCTTTTGTACATCGTAATAACAGTGTTCAAAAAAGCTTTTCATAAAACGTAAAAATATACCTTGTATAAAAATATGAATCTTGTATAAAACTAGTTTTATTCTCATAAGAAACTATTTGTTTGAGTAAAAAATGTTTCTTACATGTAAAAAATAGTTTTTTACGCCAAGATTTTTATTTTCGGACTTTTTTTTGTACATTTGGTATTGGGCCTTTATATTATAATTATCTATGACAATTATAATAATACAACATGATAATTATCATATGATACAATTTAAATTTTATTACATTACATATGATAATTATCATATATACAATTACTAAAACATTATATTTAGTAAATATCTTATATAATCAAAGCCTGCTTGATCAGAAAACGTTTTGATTGTATAGTATAAAGTTTCAAGTGCCAAAAAAATGTTCAAGAATAAAATTAAAATTTTGATAGTCTTGAATTTTGAATTTTTACACAATTGGAATCTACTCAAATATACTCTTCATGATATAAGATTTTTTTTGAACTTAAATATTTAAAAATTATGTGTATAAATTACAAAATTCAACATTTCAAAATTTTTCTTTTACAATTTCCAAGAAAGTAAAGGCCAATTTATATAAAACAAAATTCTAAATAAATCTTTTAAGACAACATCTTCAGTGTTTCTATAAGTCTTCTTGAGATGTGTCCAATGGAGAAAAAATAGAAGTACCAGTACCAGCTGCAGTTTTTATAGTTTTTTTTGCAGTTTTTATATAGTTTTTTTTTCAAAAATTAAATGATCTGAAAATAAAAATAAACATTATTTATTAATAATAATTTTTAGTGTAATTTACCTAAAATTATTTTGTCTCTCTTCAACGATGATTTTTACTCTCAATCCACTGTTGAATGTTTAAATTTAATGAAGCTAAAGGCATCTTGAAGAGGGCGGTTGAATTGAAGTGTAGCTGTCCCAAAAAATCCTTGTTCCAAAGCAGTACAATATCCCAATCAAAAACTCAATTTTAAAAAGAATTAGAAAATGAATAAAAAGAAAATAAATTAGAAAATGGATCCAAAACTATACAATTCTATGTAGACAATAAAAAGACCTAGAAGTCTTGATAGAACAGCAGTAAAATAAACAATAATCTAAATACAAGAGGAGACTTAGAAATACAATCAATTAAAAGAAAAATAATAAATTATATTTGGAATTACTCTGAAAGGTATGATGAATTGAAAAAGGCATGAAAATGATTGCAAAACTACAACCCTAAACAGACAATAGAAATAAAATGCTTTAGAGAAAGTAAATCTTGACATAGAATGACAACTCCAAAAAAAATTATACAAGTAAATGAGATTTTAGAAATACATATATTAATATTCATTCACAGATTTCACAGAATGAAGGTAATAGAAAGGCAAGTACAGAAATAGAGGTATGTAGAATTGAAAAAAATGCATGAAAATGACTGATGAACTAAGACAAGTCTCAGAAGAATGACACAAAAAATTATATACACAATTATATACATAAAAAAGACTTAGAAATACAATCAGTAGAAGAATTTATAGAAATGATGAATGATGATGACATTCCAATAAAGGAGAAAATATAGGAGACAAAAAATGAAATAGAATTATGATGCATTGAAAAAATGGCATGAAAAGGAGAGAATTGGAAAAATAATGGCATGAAAATTAATAAAAAAACTATAATTCTATACAGGCAATAGAAATGTTAAAATAAGTCTTAGGAAAATCTCAGAAGAATGACACAAAAAAGGATAATCATTGGAAGAGTTTACAGCACTGATTAATTACAGGCAACAGAATTGGTGAAATATGCCTTGACAAAAATTGTGTAATAAATAAAGAAGTATGTAGTCAATAAAAACTAGAAGATTGAACAAAGATATTGTCAAAATTTAACATCAAGCACATAATGAATAATCCTCCAGAGCATATAAGTTCGCCCCCCCCTTAATCAGATTTAACCCTTGTCCGATGATTAAGCCTCGCCAGTCAGTTCCCATCCCAGCTAAGCAGCCTCGTCTCGGGTCACCCTCGTCACCCATCGAGCGGACATCCACCGGGACCCCCTACAGGCGGACCCCCCTCATCATCTTCAATGTGTCCGATATCCCGTCCCCTCTACTGTCGAGACGTCACGGGATACGTGCACGAAGAAGTCTCGTAGCTTGGGTGCCAGGTCGTATCCGGCCGAAGCCTCTAGCGTTAGAACACCTAGCTCGTAAACCAGAGGGTGGTGACTCCCTTGGGTACCTATGCATGCTACATAGGTCATCGATGGCCGAACATCAGGGTTAGGGGGTGACCCGGGCCTCCTCCTCTTAGGGGAGGCTAGTTATGATGCTCTGAAGTCGATGTTACTCAGGAAAATTCACTGGAAAAATACTAGGAAAGGCAATGTTTTTAAATAAATGGCGAATGCGCCAGGAATTGGTCAGAAATTAGTCCTTATTTTAAGATTTTTAAGTGTGTTATATGGAGTGTTTAAATTATATTTAAATACAAGCAAACTAAACCAACAGAATTCGTAAAGTTACAGCAATTCATGGTATATGGTCTAAAAAAAATGACATGAAAATAAAACCATCAAAACTAAAATTCTGTAGGTACCAGGAATTACACAAGCAAAAATGAATTAGGAGAATGACACCATAAGAAAAACAATACAAATACAAGAAAATGTATGGAACATTTTATAGAATCAATGAATTGTATTATTATTTCCACAATCAAGAAAGTATGGGAGGCAAGCTAAGTAAACAAAAAAAAACTATCACAAATTTAAAAAAAGCATCAAATGAAAAAAAAATCATATTGATGTACTTCATCAAGTGAAGTTCTAGGTGGATGATATTATACCAAAAAGAAAAAAAAATGACCTAAAGCCAAAAATTGATCCAAATTAAAAATAAACGGTCTGATTTTGTTTCTGATAATAAGAAACCATAAAAATGTAACTCGGAGACTCACTGGAAAATTTTTCCTACTTAATTAAATTTATAAATTATGAAATCCACTGATAAACACTAAAAACCAGTACAAATATAAGTTTTTACTCAAAAGAAATAGAATTTTAAATATACTTCCTGAAGCATTGTTGGTAATAGTCATGAAAAAGATAAATGTACTGCCCTGGTATATATTGTATACATCTATCGATTGGTTGTACAAAATCTGTAAAATAAGAAATAAATAATGATACGTTTCATTAATTGAGAGTGGGAATACCAAAGGGGGTAAGTGCCAAATTTTTCAATATTAAGTTATTGCATTATGTAAGAACTGCCATATACTGCATGTCCTAACAAAAGTTACAAGTGCCAAGCAAAAAGCGTCTGTTTTTCATGTATATTAAAGATATTTTAAAATTTTTACTGTGTTTTTCTCATTTATCTCAAAAAAATAATTTTGGCACTTACCCCCTTTAGGATTTCCACTTTTCAATTATGCTATAATAATTGTGTTTATTCTTTTTCTTTCGTATTAAGAATATATCTTAAGAAATATTGTTAGTGTGTTAATAAACTTTTAATAATTTTCTAAAATTATTTTTAAATAATAAATTAAACTTACCTTTAACCACATAATGGAAGAACAACTCGTAAACTAGAATATGATGGCCAAACATCAGGATTATACGAGAGGTCACCCAGGTCTCTTCTTTTTGGTACTGGTTTGTATTATTAATAATGCCCTTAAAAAAGAAAATTATAATTATTAAAGCCTTTTTTAATATTAAAAGAATGTTAGAAAATTATTAACATAAATATGACGACATTGTATAGTATTAAAACATGTGTGTAGAAGTATTTGATCTCAAAAGTATTAATATATGTAAAATTATTGAGCATGGGGGCTCATTTTAGGTATACTAACACCGACTCCTTAAAAGACAAGTATTAATAATTGTTTTTCAATAATATAAACTTACTTTTGACTGGATAATGTAAAATCAATCTCAGCAGCAAGAATTTATGGCCAAACATCAGAGTTATATAAAGGGTGATCAGCTCTCTTCTTTTAGAGGTCTTTATGTGCTTGGTTTGCATTATTTAACACTCCTAAAAAAGAAAATTATAATTAAAGCATTATATTAAAACAATGCAAATTTGTTAACTAAAACATTATTACGACAGAGTAATTTAAAAATGTAAAGACGTTTTTTTAACTTCAAGTACCTATTACATAACTGACTTATTCTAAAAGACGAGAAAAATACTTGTTTGCCTGAACGAATAAACACCTACAAAAACTACCTTAAGGAATAAAAAACCCTTTTAGAATCTACCAAAAAAATAGTCCAAAAAATACCCAATATCTCTAAATACGGAGCACTACTCTAAATAACTTTATTTTTGATATACAATAGAGACATCAAGGAATGTAGCTATATTTCCATATACTCGATTTTGAAAAAGAAATTTGGAAAAATTTACTTTTAGTGATGATGTAATTGAAATATTTGCAAGTGAAAAAATCCATAGAAAACAGACAAGTAATGGGTGCTTACATTTTCAGGAGATTAAACAGGCCTTAAGGAACAGAATAAACTCTAAGGGTGCACAGAAATATCACTTTTTCTATAAAAAATCAGAAAAATTGTAAGAACGACGTAACTTCTTGCCGTTAACAACGAAAAATGTGGCACGTCAACGTTGTCAGATTGAACACATGTAAAACAAAAATGGTCGCATTTTTGCAGCATAAATAATGCTGTATTTAGAAGAAAATATATTATTTATTCTACTGAAACAAAGTTTACATTATATGTTTATTAGATTTATCATAATTTTGTAACGGTTCAATTCATTTTAGACTTACAAAAATATTGATTCAGATTAAATTTAGGATTTCGCTGACATCTTGGCAACCTTGGAAATATTTTAGTTCAAAATTTTCTCACTTTTTCCCTATAGCGCCACCTGCGTTCTTCTTCTTTTCGTATTTATGGGCCCAAACATCGGCAACCACAGATTCGGCATAGATTTTCTTCTTCTTCATTCTTACATGGCTTAAACTCATATAGGTCATCTGGCTAGAGAAATAATCATAAGAAGAGATATTAAACTATATTCTATGGTTAATTATTAGACAAAGACAACAACAAAAATAAAGAAGTTAAATAAATGAAGTTTATTATTTTTCGTTTGAATTAAAATAGTTTAAAATAAAATTAAACAATCATGAACAAGATTAAAAAGTGTGCAGGAATGGAGAGCTTTCAACGAATGAATTATCTGTACCAGGTTTTTATCTTAATTTTATTGGAATTCCATAAAAACTACCTATATTTCTTGTAGATTTGTAATGCGATGGCAACACAAAGCAAAGCTTCTCACAGAGCTTCGGTTCAGTACTCAAATTTAATGATCAATATATCTAAAAAGGCTGTTCAAAGATTGTAAGTACATCTTCAGCTTAATTGCAATCAATTTAGTCAAAATTTGCACCTTTCTAGGGATGTCGAGATTAAAAGAACAATATGTAAAGGGTGTAGATCATTACTTTTACCCGGAATTACGTGTAAAGTAAGAATAAAAAAGAAGAAACTGCTACATCATTGTCTTTTATGTTCAACTACTAAGGTTTTTCCATGTAAAAATAAAGACTACAAGCTGTGGGTGGAAAATCCCAGTGTAGTAGAATGTTTAGATTATTCTCTAGACAGAAATAATCAACAACAAACAAGTGATAATAAAAAGATTGGTCATAGTGTTAAGCAATAAATAAGTTTTTGGAATGCCATGCCTTTATTTTTTTAATCTTATCATTATTTTATTACACATATTATAGGATATAAAAATTTTAACGCAGTCTGTAGGGGGAAAAAGGTACAGCATGATTAAAACCGAATTAAAATAAATAATTTTCAAATTAGTAATGTTATCTCTCTTGAAATAACTTTTTTAAAAATACAAACAATATAAAAATAGGGAATTACTTAAATAAAAACCTGTTCGCTGGACAGACTATCCGCGAAGGGGCTGACTATTTCTTTGGTTGCAAAATAGAAAACGAGACCAAACGTGATAGATATTGGTAGGGCAGGAAGGGCTTTTCTGAATATGGCCAACAGAAGAAGTGTCAGACACAAACCCTAAAAATAAAAGTTTTTATTTCACATTTTTATTTTGAATTCCTAAGTCTTACTATTAAAATGGCAATGAAACAAGCAAGTGTAGTGTTCCAGTCTCCATACGACGAAGCTTTTCCAACTAGTACACTGTAAAATATAAAATCCCCCAGTCCCAACTTAACACCCCCTAAAAATGTAATATATAAGTGATTTTCTTCAATATAAGACTTATGAAAGCTTACTTTCTTCTTCATCATGCATTATTTCGTGCTGTTCAAGGATCTGAGTTCTTATTTCACCACCGGGGGCTTCATGTACCTCTAGTTGTCTCCTTGCAACTCTATTTGCATGGTTATTAACCCATTCTTGAGTAAAACCATGATTTTCACTCTCTGATTGGTTCGGTTGCTCGTTATCAGGAGCGGCCATCGCTGTATACATGTATGTAGCTGTAAAACAATAATAATATATATTCTAATGTTATTTGTTGAGTACTTACAAGAATATATCAGAGCTGGGAATATAGGTTCGTTTCTTTCTTGAGCAGTCTCAACTAAAATCCTTAAAGGACCTTTTGGAGTTAATACAGCTATTAAATCTAAAAAGAATCATTTAAAATTTAGTATTTTCAGCAGAAAAAATAATAAAAATTACCCCAAATCGAGATAACAGCCAAAACAGCCCATGTAGTCCATTCCGGAAGATATTTGATAAAAACTAGAGCCATTAGTGCGGCAATAAAAATCAGATAGGCCTGTTGCAGTAAAAGGGGACCTTGCCAGTGAATGCATATCATTCCCATCACACCAAAGTTCCACATCAACACTACCAAAGTTATATAGTCCATTGGAATATTGTAAGCCCTCAATACTTCTCTACAAAGAAAAATAGGTCTAAAGTACATCAAAACATAATTAAGAACTGACTTACTCTAAATATAAATAACTAAAAACGGACAGTAACATTAAGGACGACACTATGAGCCATCCGTGTATAACTTTATACCATCTATATTTATATAGTAAAATTAAAACTATTGTCATTACAACAATAACGGACATTAATATAAGAGAATTCGCTACTGCATTCCATGCTTTCGTACTTCTGTCTGGACTTTCTTCATGGAATGGAGTGTATACACTAAAATATTTTGAATAATTAGTTTTTTTACGAAAGAAAGTGTTGTCTGTATCACATACAAGTATATGTCTTTTACAGAGTAGAAATTTACTGAATTGATTGTAGCTACCACCACTACCATACATAGAGATACGGGAGCAAATAATTTAATGACATGTTTCGCCCCATACTTCAGTTCTTCCTCATCGTTTAACCGTTGTATCTCATCATTGACCTGTAAGAACAGATAAGTGTGTATTTTAATAATAAATAGCTCGTTTTCTCATACGTTTGGCGGGGGCGTCCCAGGCTCGGACTCTGTGACCGGACTGGATGGCTCGATTTTTCTACTTCGCCTTTTGGGCACCTCATTTTTCACTTCCAAAGGATTATTTCCACTGTTCGTAGCGACATGGCCGTCCATCAGTCTGGTTGTTTCTGAGACGGTGTCGATATCCTCGCTTTCACTGCCAGACATAAAATGTTCTTAAATGTGTAGGAAGAAACAAAAAGGAAAAAGAAATCAACAAAAATGAATCATTTTTATTGACAAATTTCAGGTTTTGAAGGCTGAAAGAACTGTCAACGTCGACAGGAATGCATTAATATTCAACGTTAGTTCTTGTTCTGTGGCCAGAGTAGTTCAAATGCTTAGTTCAAATGTATCACGTTTTGACGTTTAACATAACCCTATAAAATTTCAAATTTGTGTGTTTTCAAATGGTTTTATTTAATATTTAATTTCTAATTGTATTTATAACATACATTTATTTATATTTGATATGGAGGTTATTGAATCGTTTGAGAACAATTTAAATCTAAAATGCAAGCTGCAGGTTTTGTCTCGAGCCGATGGATCTGCTATGTTTTCAGAAGGTATGTTATGGTCACAGATTATGGTTGTTTTGATGTTTATTTTAATACAATTAAATTATTTGAGTTATTAATAATTATTGTAGGCCAAACTGTAGTTCTGTCTGCTATCTACGGACCAGTCGAGGTAAAAATGCAAAAGCTATTAATCGAAAAAGCTTCAGTTGAGTCTGTTTTTAAACCAAAATCTGGCCTACCAGGTATTAAATATTTATAATTCGTTTTAATAAATAAAAATCATCCCTTCTTGTTACTTTTTTTGCAGGAGTGTCAGATAGATACAAAGAATATCTTATTAAAAATATCTGTGAAACAGCTTTAGCTTCAGCTCTATATCCCAGGACTGCGGTATTAGTAAATTTACAAGAAATGCAGAATCAAGGACAGGTATATTTGTATTGTTAAAAAATATGTTTTCTATTAATATATTCATGTTTTAGTTGATATCGTGTGCTATAAACGCTGTCTGCTTGGCCTGTTTGGATTCAGGTATAGATATGAAATTTCTATTTGGTGCCGTTTCGTACTTTTTAACAAAAGAAGAAGAGTTAACTCTTACGCCTCCCATTAACGAATCTTCGGTTAAAGCTATGTTTGTATTTGTTTTTAATAATACTAAAGGAGATGTAATTGCTTCCCATACCGAGGGTAGATTTAGTATAGATCAATATAAAACAGCCTTAGATATATGCAGAGATGAAGTGAAAAAAGTGTTTATTTTCTTTAAGGAAACTTTGTTAGATACATAATAAAATTTTGGATTATATTTGTAACATTGTGTTTATTTTGTATACCTTTTTTATTAAAAAGATACATACATACAGGGTTAGGCAATAATGTGTTGGGCATAAGTGTAAACTCAAAGTATGTTCGAGGATGTATTTTAAGAAAATATTTTAACTCCTATAAAGTGGCTCAGAAAAGTGTGAGTGGGTCAGGATGATTTTTTTAAATAACCTGTATATTATTGCATTTTTGACTTCCTTTAAGATCACTTTACATAACCTTAAGATATGAGTAATTATATTTCGATGCTTTCAGAAATATTCATAAATAAATAAAAATATATATTTTTCAGCCTTTTTTAAAAAATTTTATTAAAAATACAAGGACTGTCTTCAAATCAAAACTATATTAGGTATTTACTTACTTTCCTCTAAATATGGTAATCGTAAGTCATACAGGGTGTTCAAAATTCTACGCCAAACTTTCTAAAATATAAAATAATTTTTCTTGTTTTTTTTAAATTGAACACCCTGTATATTATTTTTTCAATAGATGGAGAATTAAAAAATAAACATTTTTTTGTATTTAGAGTACTTCAAAAATTTTAACGGTTTTGCAGATATTCGCGTTTTTACATTTCATATGGCATTTTCCACAGTAAATTTATATCAAAGCCACCCAATGATTTTTCTCTCGTATTTTACCGTTGAAAGAACCATATGAAATAATACTGCTTGCTATCTGCGAAACTATTAAAAATTTTAAATACTTTAAATACAAAAAATGTTCATTTTTAATTCTCCATATAATAAGAAAATAATATATAGGCTATTCCATTAAAAAAACGAAGAAAAATTATGTTGTTTTAAAAAGTTTGGCGTAGAATTTTGAACGCCCCGTATAATTTACGATTACCATATTTTTAGCAAAGTTAGTACAGACCATCTAAGTAGATACCTAATATAGTTTTGATTTCAGGACATTTCTTGTATTCGTAATATAATTCTTTTAAGAAGTGCTGAAAAAAAATTATTTTTTATTTTTTTATTAATATCTGTGAAACGTGAAACCATCGAAATATAATTACTCATATAATATCGTATATTAGGATTACGTAAAGTGATCTGTGAAAGGAAGCCAAAAATGCAATAATATACAGGGTGTTCCATTTAAAAAAAATCATCCTGATTCACTCACACTTTTTGAACAACCCTATAGAAGTTAAAATATTTTCTTGAAAAACGTTATACTATACATGATCAAATATTTAGATACTACATTCATATGAAGAAAAAACTGTGTCTATCCACATAAAGATACATATTCAATCTATTGCAAAATACCGCTATTTGCGAGGAGATAAGAAACTTTTAAAAATTTATTTTATGAACTATAATATACCTGGTGAAATTTGAATTTTGTTCTTACTTTGTTGAAATCAACTGAAATGCACCAATACAATAATGAAAGAAAACAGAGAGCTATTTTTTCTTTATTTTTTCATTTAAATAAAAATAGTTCCTTTTTTTGGAAAGCTTTTAAAAAACTGGACCCGCTAGAGAAAACCATTAAAGACCGGACATCCCTCAAGCTACCCCCCTGTCCCCCACTTTGGACCATGCGAGGTGGTGGGGGATTCACATGACCGAATAAAAGCATCCCCCCACATCCGGCCGTTTCCCTGGCAAAGACGCGGGAACTGAAGGGACGAAATGAGAATGGGGGACGAGGGGAGTATGTTCGGGGGGCCGGCAGCAGACAAATGGGTGTCGCTGCATATGTAAAACGAGGAACCCGGTCACCCTTTGTCTGTCATTTGTCACTGTCGTTGCGGCACGCGCGTCTCCATGACGACGCCCATGGCTGACGTCGCGGCGTCGCTTTTGGCGAGCGCCTGTTTTTCGGGACCGTTTGGGAGAAATAAGGAATTTATATTGCCGGGGAAGAATGTTTTGGAAATTATTCGGGATGCGTGACGTGCGAATGTCAGAATTTTGTTTTCGGGTTGGACCGAAACGTTGTGTAAATTATTTTTGTTTCTACGGGGGGTTTCAAGAAACATGTGTCATTTCTCGGTCCTAAGTTCTGAGAAATTTCTTCGAGTGTCTTAGACCGTAGGAAGGCCTTGATCATGACTGAGGTAACGCATGCAGAGAATGGGACTTATAAGAAGAGGCTTATAAATAAATAAATACCTTATTTATTGGCAAAAAATTTTACAATTTGTAGACAAAGGTAAAGTAAACAAACAAAAGAAAATACAAAACAAGTACATATACAAATTACATTGTCAGTCTTATTGTTTAAAATAAACATTTATAAATGTCAAAGAATAAAAATAAATAAATAAATAAAAATAAGTTTCAAAAAAGTAAGTTTATAATAAATATTAGACCAGTGTTTACAAGATCAAATTCGATTATCAAAATATAAGTTATTTAGGTACGGCGTAGGAAGCCTTGTCTAGTAAATAAGATTTCAATGCTTTGCGAAATGAAGAAAATGATGTTATGGATTTGATTTCAAATGGCAGGTGATTGTGCATTTTTTTTCGAGTTGTATAATATTGAACTTTTAACTAACTCTGAGCGTGGGGTAGGCAGATAAAGATCTTGCTTCGCGTTCCTGAGTGGATAAGTGTGAGATGGTTTTTCTTGAGAAGCTGATACATGCTTACGTATTAGGCAAACGGATTCAAATGTAAATAAGGAAGGAAGAGTTAATATTATTAATTTTTTAAAAAAGTCCTGGCAATGAGTTCTGCTGTTTAATCCCAGTGAATATCGAACAGCAAATTGAGTCGCACAACACGTACCCCAGAATGGAAGGGCTAATAATACCTAAACTTAGTAGATAACTATTAAACAATGTTACGCTCACAACTCCATAAAGAAAAACAAGTCCATCAAACTGATGTTTCTTCGCAAAAAGAAACCCAAACGAGACCTAATAAAAATCCAGCTTTTCCAGAGGCCCAGCGCGGTCCCCGTCCAGCTCCTTTAAAGGTCGTAAACCGGCAACATAAAGCCCGCTTCACAGGGCCTCGTTATTGTCCTATAAAAGCGATCTTGACGCCGCTCATCAAGTGCGAACGTAGTGGTCGACAGATACTCCTCACTCGCCGACCCTCGTAAAATGAAAACGACGTGAAGCTGAATCAAACTATTACCCAGATCATTTTATATCATTTTTATAGTGATATGTCCTCTTACCTTTTCGTCCTCTTCACTCCTCACAGTCCCTGTCAGGCTACAAGGGTGATCCGGAAAGATTTCGATAAAAAACCATAGCGATGTTCAATTTTTATTGGGGATATTTTAAAGTATCCGATTCTGGTACCTATCTCTCCTAATTTATATATAATCAATACCTGTCTATACAGGTCTCTCGTATAATCTATACCTATGAGCACAGAATATCTAGCTACGCAACAGAAAAATACTCGAAATGAAAGAGCTAAAATTGCACAAATAGAATACTAGATGGCGCGACAATGTCATAATCAGAATATAATTAGAAATTTTGAACTTTCGGTTTTGGATCGACGGCTCGTCGACGGCCTTATAGCTCGGCTAAATATGCACAGTTGCCAGATTCAAAAAGACTTGAATTGGCATCCCATTCTTTTTATTGTGTATAATGCAGTATGTGTTTCTTTCTATTCTTCTTTTCTTATCAGATACACTTATATTAATTATTCCTTTGGCTATTAAAATAGTTTTAAGTATATTATTACAAAACATAAACATAAACATTTTTAATATACACTACCTTATAATGTTAACTAAGAAAATACCTTTAATTACCTTTAAAACTAATAATATACAGGGCGATTGATAGTGATATTTATTAATGCTGGAACGTTAGTAATAAAATATAAGTTTAATAATAATGGAAATAATTTATTAAAATGCAGTACAAAAAATGTTGCAAAATTGACTAAAAAATACTATAATAACAAATTTCTTCCGTTTGCCACGTTATTTATATAGACCTAGGTAGATTTTAAAAAGTGACACAGGTATAATTAATAATATATTAGTTCGGCATAAAAGTTGCTGTCACGACATGACCGACATCGAACAATAAATTAAAATTCGTAAAATAAATTAAAATTACTAATTAAACAAATCTTTATAAAGAAACGCAAGTATACCAAATTTGGGCCCAATCGAACTCCAGGAAATGATATCATAATAGTGTACTATATTATGGTACCACTCGATATGCTTTAAGGTACCATAATATTGCAATGTCACCGAAGATCCGTAGTATACCAAATTTAAGAACAATCGAACGCCATGACATGGTATCGTAATATGGTACTATATTAATGTACCACTTTATATACATCATAGTTCAATCATATTACAATGTAACCGAAGATACGTAGTATACCAAGTTTGAGCCCAATCGAACGCCAGGAAATGGTATCGTAATATGGTACTATATTAAGGTACCACTTTATATGCATCATAGTACCATCATATTACAATGTCACCGAAAATACGTAGTATCCCAAGTTTAAGCCCAATCGAACGCCATGTACGTAATATAGTACTATATTATGGTACCAGTTGATATGCTTCATGGTACTATAATAATGCAATGTCATCAAAAATGCGCAAGTATATATCAAATATGAGCTCAATCGAACGCCATATGTATTAAAATATGGTACTATATTAAGGTACCACTTTATATGCATCATAGTACCATCATATTACAATGTAACCGAAGATACGTAGTACAACAAGTTTAAGCCCAATCGAACGCCAGGAAATGGCATCGTAATATGGTACTATATTATGGTACCTCGTATTATGCTCCATGGTACCATAATATTACATATCACCGAAGATACGTAGTATCCCAAATTTAAGCCCAATCGAACGCCATGTACATAATATGGTACTATATTATGGTACCAGATGATATACAATAGTACAATAGTACCATCATATTATAATGGCACCGAAAATACGTAGTATAACAAGTTTAAGCCCTATTGCCGCCATGTACCTAATATTGCTATGTCATCAAATAT